TAATGTGGTTTATTACGTTTATTGATTTTCGTATGTTGAACCACCCCTGCATCCCTGGGATGAAGCCTACTTGGTCGTGGTGAATAATCTTTTTGATGTGTTGTTGAATTCGGTTTGCCATTATTTTGTTGAGGATTTTTGCATCAATGTTCATTAAGGAGATTGGCCTATAGTTCTCCTTTTTGGAGGTGTCTTTGCCTGGTTTTGGGATAAGTGTAATACTGGCTTCATAAAATGTGTTTGGCAGTTTTCCTTCCCTTTCTATTTCATGGAACAGTTTAAGGAGGGTTGGTATCAGTTCTTCTTTAAAGGTCTGATAGAATTCAGCAGAGAATCCATCAGGTCCTGGACTTTTCTTTTTGGGGAGACTCTTGATTGCTGCTTCAATTTCATTTTGTGTTATAGGTCTATTCAGGTGATTAATTTCCTCTTGGTTCAGTTTTGGATGATCATATGTATCTAGAAATCTGTCCATTTCTTTTAAGATTTTCAAATTTATTTGAATATAGGTTCTCAAAGTAGTCTCTGATGATTTCCTGGACTTCCATGGTGTTTGTTGTTATCTCCCCTTTTGCATTCCTGATTCTACTAATTTGGGTTTTTTCTCTCCTCATTTTAGTCAGGTTTGCCAGGGGTCTATCGATCTTGTTTATTTTTTCAAAGAACCAACTTTTTGTTTCATTAATTCTTTGTATGGTTTTTTTGGTTTCTATTTCGTTGATTTCAGCTCTTATTTTTATTATTTCTCTCCTTCTATTTGTTTTGGGATTTGCTTGTTCTTGTTTTTCTAGGAGTTTGAGATGTATCATTAGGTCATTGATTTGGGATCTTTCAGTCTTTTTAATATATGCACTCATGGCTATAAACTTTCCTCTCAGGACTGCCTTAGCTGTGTCCCATAGGTTCGGTAGGTTGTGTTTTCATTTTCATTGACTTCCAGGAACTTTTTAATTTCCTCTTTTATTTCATCGATGATCCATTCTTCATTAAGTAATGAGTTATTTAGTTTCCAGCTGTTTGCATGTTTTTTGTCTTTACTTTTGTTGTTGAGTTCTACTTTTACTGCATTGTGATCAGATAGTATGCACGGTTAATTTCTATTTTCTTATATTTGCTGAGGCTTGCTTTGTGCCCTAGGATATGATCTATTTTGGAGAAGGTTCCATGGGCTGCTGAGAAGAATGTATATTGTGTAGAAGTTGGATGAAATGTTCTGTAGACATCTACTAGGTCCATTTGATCTATTGCATATTTTAGATCTTGGATTTCTTTATTGATTTTTGTTTGGATGACCTATCTATTGATGATAATGGGTGTTAAAGTCTCCCACAACCACTGTGTTGGCATTTTATATGCTTTTAGGTCTTTCAGGGTATGTTTGATGAAATTGGGTGCGTTGACATTGGGTGCATACAGGTTGATAATTATTATTTCCTTTTGGTCTATTTCCCCTTTTATTAGTATGGAATGTCCTTCTTTATCTCGTTTGATCAATGTAGGTTTGAAGTCTACTTTGTCAGAGATAAGTATTGCTACTCCTGCTGTTTTGGGGGCCATTGGCTTGGTAAATCTTCTTCCAGCCTTTCATCCTAAGCCTATGCTTATTTCTGTCGTGAGATGGTCTCCTGTAAGCAACAAATTGTTGGATCTTCCTTTTTAATCCATTTCATCAAGCGGTGCCTTTTGATGGGTGAATTAAGTTCGTTAACATTAAGCGTTAGTACTGATAGGTATGTGGTGATTCCTGTCATTTAGTTGTCTTAGTTGTTTGAAGGTTTGATTGTGTGTACCTAAGTTGAGGTTACTCTCCTTTGTAGTGGTGGCTTTGTGGTCACATATTGCTTTAGTTTCTGCTTATCATGGAAGACTTTTATTGCTCCATCTATTTTGAATGATAGTTTTTCTGGGTAGAGTATCCTGGGGTTGAAGCTATTTTCATTCAGTGCCCAGAAGATCTCACCCCACGCTCTTCTTGCTTTTAATGTTTCTGTTGAGAAGTCTGCTGTGATTTTGATGGGTTTACCTTTGTATGTTACTTGTTTTTTCTCTCTTACAGCCTTCAATATTCTTTCCTTAGTTTCTGAACTTGTTGTTTTAATGATGATATGTCATGGGGTAGTTCTATTTTGATCTGGTCTGTTTGGTGTCCTGGAGGCCTCTTGCATCTGTATGGGAATATCTTTCTCTAGATTTGGGAAATTTTCCATTATTATTTTGTTAAATATATTACGCATTCCCTTCGCTTGCGCCTCTTCTTCTTCTTCGATGCCCATGATTCTCAAGTTTGGTCTTTTGATGGAGTCGGTGAGTTCTTGCATTTTCTTTTCACAGGTCTTGAGTTGTTTAATTAATAGTTCTTCGGTTTTTCCTTTAATTACCATTTCATCTTCAAGTTCTGAGATTCTGTCTTCTGTTTGTTCTATTCTGCTGGATTGGCCTTCCGTTTTGTTTTGCAGTTCTGTTTCGTTCTTTTTTCTGAGGTTTTCCATATCCTGGGTGATTTCCTCTTTAATGTTGTCTATTTTTGTCCTGAGTTCATTTATCTGTTTATTCATCGTGTTCTCTCTTTCACTTTGGTGTTTATACAGTGCTTCTATGGTTTCCTTTATTTCTTCTTTTGCTTTTTCAAATTCTCTATTTTTGTTGTCTTGGAATTTCTTGAGTGTCTCCTGTACATTTTGGTTGACCCTATCCAGTATCATCTCTATAAAATTCTCATTGAGTACCTGTAGTATGTCTTCTTTTAAATTATTCTTGTGGGCTTCATTGGGTCCTTTGGCATAGTTTATCTTCATTTTGTTGGAGTCTGGATCTGAGTCTGTTTTCTTCATTCCCCTCTGGTTCCTGTACTAATTTTTTGCTGTGGGGAAACTGGTTTCCCTGTTTTTTCTGTCTTCCTGTCATTGTCCTTTGGTGTTGTTACTGTCCCTGTACTGTGTGCAATTAAGTATTTTCTAGCTTGTAATAATAACAATGGTAATATTTAGAATGGAAGGGTGAGCTGAGATGGAAAGCAAAAAAGTTAAAGAAATGGGAAAAAAAATACACAGACTGGAAGAAGGAGAAAACAGAACAAGGTATCAGACAAGAAGTTTCAAAGGTATAAACAGGGAGTTTAGTGTACTAATCGACAGTAAGCTGAACAGACATTAGAGAGACAGAGAGGATTGAAAAAAAAAAAAAAAATAAAGATAAGAATAAAAAAAAAATAAGTAAATGAAAGAAAAATCTTATATAAAAATGTATTAAAATAAAATGAAAAATAGAAAAAAAAACCAAAAAACCAAAAAAACCTCCAAGTTCAATGCAATGAAGTTTCAGTCTTAATAATTTGGTGTCCGTCTCAGTCTCCAATCCTGGAGATGGTGCCTCAGATGTTGTTCTGTAGTTGTCTCATCAAAGGGGGCATAAAGTAGAACAAAACTACACACACACACACACAAAAAAAAACCCCACCAAGTGTCCCAAGTTCAAATGCAATACAGTTTCAGTAAGTTTTTCAGCTTGCAGGTGTAATTCGGTTGTTCTCTCATCAAAGGTAGGGAGAAAAGAAAAAAAAAGTCTGGAGACAGTTCTGAGAATGGTATCTGCTGTGGCTTGCCTGCCTGCTGCTGTCAGCCTGCTGTTGCTGGAGGTGTTATTTATGCAGATCACTGGGGTGAGCTTAGCACTCACCTGGCCCTGCAGGCGTTGTTTGCTCAGAGTTTTCCTGTGAGCCTCTGCTACAGGCTTTCCCCTTTCCAAGCACTGGGAAAGGTGACACTGCACCAGTGTTGTCAGGCCTGCGTGTTTATTTACAGTTCACGTGGGAGTGGGTCTTCCCCCTCTCCTGTGGAGTTTTCTCCCCGCCACTTTCACAAGCTTTCCTGCTCCTGCTTACTGGGTGGTGCTGCTGCTCCTGCCAGCTGCCATGTTTGTTTACAGTTCACGTGGGAAGTGGGTCTTCCCTCCTCTTCTGTGGAGTTTTCCTCCCTCTGCCACTCTCACCAGCTTTCCCGCTCCTGGTTGCTGGGCACACGCACTGCCCCTGCTCCCACCAGAGCCTGTCCTGCCCGCCGGCTTGTTTATTTACAGTCCCAGGAAGGGTTCCCTTACCCCAATCTTTGGTGCTCAGGGCGCCCCACCCTCCTCCCTGCGTGTCTTTATTGCTCTTATTGTTTATTACTCAGTTTCTCTTTTTCCCTGGGTGGGGGTCGGTCTGTCCAGGGGGCTATGCTGCCTGGGCCCTGGCTTGTGTGTGGGGTACCGCGGTACCGCGAAGCTCATCTGGTCCGTGTCTTCCCAAGCCTTCTGGGCACCGGTGACTGGCGGCCCCGGGGCCCTCCTGATTTCTCTGTTTAACGTGAAGTGGAGATTCTCTTGCACCGGCTGGAGATGTGGAGGGGTCAAAGTTAGCCTCTTTCCGTGATTATGCCTGCAAAAGTGTGTCTCCACAGTCTCTCCAAGATTTCACTGTAGGAGGCCGCTTTCTTGCTTCCTTCCTCTAGCTGCCATCTCATGGAATCCCCTATAATACTTAAAGTAGGGCTGATACATTCATGTTATTTGTGAATAGGAAGAAAATAATTTTTGTAGTCACTAGGTGAAAATACTCTTAGGGTAGTATTGGAGGGGAGCATTAAAAGGTACATCTTCTCTTCCCAGCAATGTGAATTTCTTAAAGTAGCAGTATAAAGGATCCTGTAAATACATTTTTCTTTTGTGATGTTTCTAATAATTCCTCAACCATGGCTTCCTCTTCTTAAGGCTTTCTTGGCACCAAACTGATTTGTTGGAAAGAAGGGTGTTGCATTGTTCTGATAAATACATTGTTCTCCTTTTTAAAATGCAAACAAAGGTCTGTTTGCATGCTCTGCACTCAGGAGGTGAAGGCAGCAGGGGTTTGAGTTTGAAGGCCAGCTTGGGATAAATAGTTTGAGACCTGTGTCGAACGGCGTGGTCCCCCCATCCCCTCCCCTGCAAAAAAAAGGAATAAAAAATTTTAAAAAACGTGCAACACGATGTTGAAAGAGTGCCTCAGAAGTTGTATGTCAAAAGTAGAAATTGTTGCTCTTTTCCACGCCCAGTTCTCCAGTACCCTTTTCTGAGGATAAGCAGAGTTGAGGCATCTTGAGACATTCACTTTCATTTAACCTGGCATGTTTCGATTTCAGGTCTTCTAAACTTTGTTTTTTCACAGTTGAAGTGCCTTAGAGTTCTTGTGAAGTATTAGTTGAGGGCAATGCTGGCTAAGAAAGCAAACTTCTGCCTGTATTCACGAAATCTGTTTGGTGGGAGCCAGGTAGGCTTTTTCATGCAGGAGGGTGGTGGGACAGATATCAACTTGGGGTGACAGCTCAAATTTGAGTTATGTCAAGTCAGTCATTTTGGAAGATCATTGTTTAGGCCCAAATCTTGAATTCTTTAGGTGAGGAAAATGTTATAATTTATTCAATTTATCATAAATATCTACAAGATAGGTCTGGTTCATTAATACTAACTTATTAATACAGGGCCCATATACATGCTACTAGAGTTTATTCCATTGAAAGGCAGAGACTGTACTTTCAGTCCAATAACATAAGATTCTTCCTTCCTTCCATCCTTTTTCCTTCTTCCCTCCTTCCTCCTCTTTCTTTCTTCATACTTCACCTTCCACCTAACTGGGATTACAGATGTGAACCACTATGCACAGTCCCCCTCGTTAATGTTTCATAATGATAAAGAGATAATTAATGGTAATGGTGATAACAGTAGACCTTCATGTGTGGCCACTTATGCCATTATTACTACTTATTACCATAACATTAACATATAGACACATAACCTCTTGGAGGCAGAAGTAACTGTGATCAGAACCATTGTAAATACCTTTGTCTAACTTTATAATGGAGAATGTTGTAGATATTTAAAATCATAAATAATCTGTTAAAAATATCTAAATTAGTCATTTTGGCAGATGGGTTAATATTTTCGTTTTTACAAATGAGACAGATGAGATTAATCTGCAGGTTACTTTTCTGTGAGTGAGCAGACTCAAGATAAAAATTAGTCAGTTCTTTGTATTTTCTTAATGGTAGAAATCTAAAGTCTTTGTAATACGGTTTTGGGGGCAGTTTCTGATTTTTCTGTTATATTGCGGTTGTCTTTTTATTTCTGTGTTGATACTCTTATTGAGGTTCTTTGGTTTCAAGAAACTTAAGTAAAAAAATGAAAATATTTATTGAAAATATATAGAGGCATCCATGAACCAAATCATGGTCAGGTCTTTTAGTAACTAGGAACCCCCGTTTCTCCCTTAGTCTCTTAGTAGCTGTATGACATATGCTGTATCTCTTTCACTCTGGGTATTGGCCTTCTTTCTTTTTTTGGGGGGGGGGAGGTTCTTCCTCTGGCTCTGAGCTACCATGGCCCAGCTTAATATGACTTCCAGTTCCACATCTCACCACTGGTTGACCATGCAGTGTGTTTGAATTATGGTCCAAGGATTACCTGACAAGACTGTTAAAAATGTGGTGCCCTGGTCCTTATACTTATACTTAATCAGAACCAATCTCTCTCTCTCTCTCTCTCTGTCTCTCTCTCTCTCTCTTTCTCTCAAGTATGGGGGTTGAACTCAGGGCCTTATGCTCTCTAGGCAGGTGACTTCTTGAGCCATTGTACCAGCCCTTTTTTTGTGATGAGTGTTTTCAAGATAGGGTCTCAAGAACTGTTTGCCCAGGACTGGATTCGAACTGCAATCCTCCTGATCTCTGCCTCCTGAGTGGCTAAGATTACAGGTGTGAACCACTGGTGCCTGGCCAGAATCTCTTTTGATGGTGTGTTTAATAGTCTGTATTTAAGAATAAGACTCCAGGTGACTCTTATTCATGCTGTACCATGAGAACCATCAGAATCTAATTGAGTGCCATTCCTGACTGCAGGTACTTAGATAACCACTCATTCAATCAGTTTATGACCAGGATTGGAGATTGTGCAACACTAACATAAGGCAATACAGATAGTAGTTTAAGAGTGAGTGCTATAAGTCACAGTGCTGGGTTTGTGCTCTGACTTCATCAAAGTAACTTGAGAACCTTTGTGCATCAGTTTTGGTTTTTGGATAATACTGGTATTTACCTCACAGGGTTGTTGTGAGGATTAAATAAGAAAAGTGCTTGCAACAGTACCTGGCAAAATTGGTACAAAAGATAGGACTACTACTACTATTATACTACTGCACCATAGCTCTCTAGGCACACCTACTTCCAGATGGACCTAGTGTTTTAGGTGATAGGCTGAGAGTGCAGGTAACTTCAGCTAACTGCAGATTGAGAGCTCAGCTAACCAAATGATTGAATTTGGTTGAGCTAGACTGACTCACATTTATATTTAATGTCTTAATGAAGATAAAACAATATGAATTTAAACTCTTCTTATTTAAGAACTAAATAAATAAACAAACCACTCCTTTCAAAACAAGTTAATAATCATTAGGAATTCATCATCTCATTAGCACTTATCATTAGCAGTTAAGTCATCTTAATGTGACTATAATGTATTACGGCTGTTTTTTTCTCTGTAGGGGTAAAGGAGATTCCCCAGAAGCTCGAGCATTGGCCAAACAGGTGGCTACGGCTCCTGCAGAACCTGCAGACCAAAACCAACAGGGCTGTGGCCAACAGCAGACCTGCCAAGGCAGCTGTCCACCTTGAGGGCAAGATTGAGCAAGCTCAGCGGTGGATTGATAATCCACAGTGGATGACGGGAGTTGTAAGGGCATCAGTGCATTTAACCCTCATTAGAATGGTGACAGTGCAAATAAACAGATTGTTACCAGGTAGCCTGTAACATCTGTAAAAAGGTGCTGAAAGGGTTCTTCAGCTACTGGTAAGTTGCTTTTCATGTGATCTTTAAGTATAACCAATAAAATCCCTGTGTTTACCAAGCAATATTGAAGAATAAATGATTTTGTTGTGCACAGAAAGATCATCATTGCAGAATTAAAACTTTGAACTAATTATTGCCAGTCCTATGTATACTTCCATTTTACAGTATTTCTGTTTTTATAGTCCTTGCAAGTACCAGTTGAAAACAATTTTTTAAATTACAGTAAGAAATACTAACTACCCAGGTTGTTTAGCTGCGAGGACTCCTGAATTACAGTCAACCTGAAGAATTTATAACCTGAAATTTTGTTTTTGGAAGACTTTAGGATTGCCTGGAAAGCCTGCTGGAGCTTGAAAGATCTGTTATTCCCATTTGCTGTTATTTGTTGGATAAAAGATAAAATTTTCAATTGGTGATGTCCAGTGTCAGTGAGGGTCTAGAGAACTGGCAGTTGTGTAATTTACTGATGTAAAGTAAATTGATGCAAACTTTGTGAATGTGGTGTTTTGAATTGACCTCAGAATTTTTCTAAGAAACAATTTGTTTGTAAGGAAGCAATATAAGAATATATATAAACAGTGTAAATGTTCATTAATAGTTATTAATAGTTATGGTTATGGTCAATATGAGAAAATACATACAGAGTTTAGTTTTTTGTTTTTCAGAACTGGGTTTGAACTCAGGGCCTTATGTTGCTAGGCAGGTACTTTTCCACTTGAGCATGCTCTATTCCCTTTTGCTATAGTGAAAAATGCTCATGGTAAAGAAAAAGAACCAAGGAATAAAAAATGGGCTGGGGATGTAGCTCCATGTTACAGCACATGCTTAGTATACATGAGGTTCTGAGTTCAATCCCAGCACCAAAATAAAAAATGCAAAATAATAAAAAGTTAACATACAGTTTATTCTTATTTATGCTTTCTGTATTTCCTGTATTTCCAAAGTGTTTTTCTTTTGCCAGAGAGCACTGTTCCTTATTGTTATTCTAAAAAGAAGCCTCTCTAGAATGGCTTGCAGTTGCGTTGCTTTCTCTGGGTCTATGTGAATTTTAGTGTATTCCTCTTGGTCCAGGTCAAGCTGCCATCCGGGGCTTGTAGCTGAAGGGCATCGTCTGGCTAATGTTATGATGGGACCTTATCGCCAAGATCTTCTTGCCAAGTGTGACCGTGTGGACCAGCTGACAGCTCAGTTGGCTGACCTGGCTGCCCGAGGGGAAGGGGAAAGTCCTCAGGCGAGAGCACTTGCATCACAACTTCAAGACTCCTTAAAGGTAGAATCAGGAACACAAATCATTCAATTGTCTATGCTTATCATATTGAAAAACAGATGGAAAAGAGAACTACAAAATACATAACTTCTTGGGTTTGGAGAAATAAAAGTGGTGATCAAGAATATTAAGGAAATTAGAGATTATTAGGAAAAAACTGAAGTGTGTGGTAGCAACTAACATTGTTTTTTCCAAATTCGTTCAGTTAAGAGATTTCATTATGTTTGCTCTATCCTTACATCCCTTGTACTGGTATGTAGTCAATATTTTTATTAAAATGACTGCCTTTTTAAACTTAAGTTTATTTAAAAGAGCATGGCTTAACTGGTAGTGTGCCTGCCTAGTAAGTATGAAGCCCTGAGTCCAACTCCAGTCCCAACCCCCCAAAAAAAATTAAAAAGAAAACTTAGATAAGTTTATTTAGGATAAATAATCGTGAAATCATAGATTTGATAAGCTAGTTGTATTTTTACTAAATATTTAAAAAGAAGCAATTATTAAAATACAATTATTTGTCTAACACCTAAAATCATCTCAGGTTTACCCAGCCAGTGAGAAACAGTGGGGTGATGGAGATTTAGTTTGTATAAATTCAGAAAACTTAAATTGGACTAAATGAAATTACTATGAAAAAGAGCTTGTGACTTCTAAGAATCTTCTTTTAGATCCATGTTAAGAAATCAACACATATATTGGTTATTATGTTTCTAGAAACTTAATTTTTATTCTTGGTTTTTTCCCTCTTTTTTTGGTGGTATTAGGGTTTGAACTCAGGGCTTTGTGTTTGCTAAGCAGGTGCTCTACAATTTAGCCAAATCTCAGATCAAGTGTTCTTCCTCTTAAGCTAAGTTAATTGTTCAGAAATTTGACACTGCATCTGCCAGTTTACTTTGGTTATCACCATGTCCCTCCTGCACTAGGAATGATGAGGAACTCTACCTCATTTGGGAGCTTTCTTTGGGCTCAATCCCATGATTCTCAGCATCATTTCATAGAGATTGCCAAGAAAGGAAGTAAAATTCCTTGAATGGGAACAGTTTCTAGGGATATGGGGAGGTAGGCAGTCATACCTACCCCTTCTCTTAGAGGATTCCTACACTCATGCTACTTAGTGTTTTGTACACAACTGACATTCAGTAAATATTTATTGAATGAAAGAATCAAGAGAAGTAAGAACATTAGCAGATGTGCTTTTGGGATATTGCTGGAAATTTTCATTTTGCTAACAATATTTTTAAGGATCTGAAAGCCAGATGCAGGAGGCTATGACTCAGGAGGTATCAGATGTTTTCAGCGACACCACAATCCCATCAACTATTGGCAGTGGCGGCCACTGCCCTCCTGATACACCTAACAGGGAAGAGGTGAGTACCTGAGATCTTCCAGTTCTTGTGTTGGCCGGCCATATTTATTTGTAAATGTAAAATTGTGGTTATACAACAACAGCAATGGTTTGGAAATTGTGGATGAAAGGTGAAAGAGTAGAGGGACCTTTTTAGTCTACTAAGTTATGAATGTCTTTAATTGCATACAATAGAAGATCTGACCATCAGAGATTAAAACAAATGGAATTTATTTTCATATCAAGAAACATGGAAGTAGGAAAGCTCTGGCATTGAGTCAGAGACTAAAAATCATGAAAACTGGCATCACTATGATTTTCTTGAACCTTTTCCCTCATGGAACTATGGTTTACTCCCCAGGCCTCCTGTTCAAGGCAGGAAGACATGATTATTGGGGTACTCCAGTCACAACTGTCTGTTTTGTTAGGGCACGTTATTCTCAACATGGAAGTCAGGATAATCTTTTTGATTCCTTCCTTTCCCATAATAAAACAATAATCCTTACAATGAGCAGTAAAGACCCATGATGTGCTGTAAACCAACTTTCCAGGAAAAAGTCCAAACCCCAATTTGTAATGTTGGTTGATTTCCATGATGTAAATAGTTCATTGTGGCTGTTTTAATGGGAAGTCACCGAAAACAGAGTTGGGAAGAGATGGTGTGTTTGACCCTTATAAGCTGGTTTATAGGTAAAGTGGCTTCAGCACTCCACTGAATATGGTCCCTGTCTACTTCTCTGACGTCATGTTGGTACTACGTTCTTCCCTTCTTACGCTTCTATTTACATTGACTTTCTTGAATTATACTGCTAGTGTTCCATATGTATGTTGCTATGTTATAATCTTAAGTTCTTGGAACTGTCATTCTTCCATAGACTATATATATTCATTGACTTTCTTCAGCTTTCTATCAAATGTCACTTTTGTGTCACTACTTAAAATACCAATCTCACCCCAACCTGAGGATTTTTTTCTTTCTTTTTGGTGGTACTGGGGTTTGAACTCAGGCTTCCGCTTGCTATGCAGGCAGTCTATCACTTGAGCCACTCCACCAGCCCCCACTCAGTTATTGCTTTAGTCAAGTTCCTAGAAAAATGCCTGGCATATTGTTGGTGATGAATGAATGAAAGTAAAGGCTTTTTCAGAAATCTCCAGGTGACCTTTTCTTGTATCTCATTGTCTAGAACTCTGTACATGGTTTACCTCACTTGCAAAGAATCTAGAAAAGCAAGTATTTGGTTTTCCATCCTTTTATTAGGAGCAAGGAGGAGTTCAGTTCTGCCATCCAAGACACCATTGTGGGTGATGGTTTTTATTTGTTTGTCTGCTCACCCCACTTTCTTTCCCTGGCTAGGTTACTAGGCAGGTCAGTTCGTGGTCCCCTTAGGCCAGGATGATTTGCTACGTTTTCATTCCAGTGTTCTTGAAGTTTCAGACTAGTATATCCAACCATCTTTTGGGCCTCTTCTCCTACATGCTTCATAGTTTCCTTAGCATATATTGACCTTTTTCTTGTTCTCTGTGCATTCTACGGACTTTTCTCTTCCCCTTTTCTTCTCACACAATGGATAACTCAGATATGTTAATTTGACCTTGGACTTATTTCTTTAATTCTTTCCATTTTCCATCGATGTTGCCACCGCTCATCACCTGTATGCCTGCGTAACTTGGACTGCTCTTTGAATTTGTCAGAAAAAAAAATTGCAGATCTGATCCTGTCGTTCTCCTGGTTTAAACCCTTTAGTGAGGCTTAGGCTAAAGCCAGAGCTTTGTGATCTGGGTTTTAATATTCTTTCTATATCAGTTTCCTACAAATTCCTGCCTTTCAGTTCATACTCTAGCAATTCTTTCTTGTTTGTTGCTGCTTGCATACTCTGCCCTTTCCATGTCTTTGTTCTTTCTGTCTCTCTACCTAATTGTCTTCCCCTTGTTCTTTTCCACCTGATTCTTCTTTATCCTATCTATCCTTTGCTTCCTGGATAGGTTAAGTGCCTTTCCTGCTGCTCCCATAATATTGTACACAGCAACATAGCATATTATAAATATTTACTTCTGCGCTCCTTTTCCCCTACTAGGCTGTAAACGCCTTAAGATACAGATATTTTGTCTTCATTTTGTACCTTCAGCAGCTACCTCAGGGTTGGGCACATAGTGGGTGGTCAGCAAATTTTGGTTGCGTGCCAGGAAAAGGAAGCTAATCATTTCAGTTAAGTGAGAGGAAGCAACAGTTATGGTCTCGGATTGAGATGCTAACCAAAGCAGGCAAAAGATCTGCAGATCCAGAGTGTGGGAGGCAAGCTAAGGTAACAGACAGGAGAAGGGGCTAGGGAATCAGGATTTTAAGCAGAGGTTCTGAGCATTACTGGCAGGAATCCAGGAAGCTAAATGCAAACAAAAGGCCAGGATTGGGCAAGAGACCTAAGAGGAACACTGGCAATGAGATTGGAACTTGCTGTTGAATCAAGAAACCTTTAGACATTTTCTGCCTTGAGTCAGAACTGGACACCAACTATGGACGGCAGACTCCTAGGAGGAGGTTAAAAAAAAAAAAAAAAGATGTATTCTGGCAGGCAGTTCTTGACATACTGTGTGTATAGCACAAACCTGACCCAGTGCTATTTGGAATACCTTGCTGTTTCAGGTGTCAATCTTAGTAATGGTATTCAACTACATTATAGAAGAGCTTTTGTCATTTTAAGTAAGTTAAAGAAAGTTTCTTTCATGGTGTACAACCTTGCATAATATTCATGTCAAAAGAAAGGTTAAGGTTTTAAAATTTGAGAACTGAATAAACAAGTAGATAGTTTTGCATTTGGGATTAATACAAGTCACCTATCCTTGCCCTTGTGTTAAGCTTGAGTGTGAGCACAAGCTATCATTTTTCCTATGGATGTCAAGGGCGGAGTTTTTACAACATTAATGGTAACAGGATATATGAGGGAGGCTGGAGCTCAGTTTAGTAGTCTTTGTGGATATTCTGGGCTTGTAATGCACCCACCTACCTACGGTAGAGCCTGTAGTGGGTTTATGCATCTTCAAACTAAAAGTTAAACCTTTGGGGAATGGGGATTATTTAGTTTTCAGCTTCTGTGAACCCCTCATTGCAGAATATATGATGCTGTGTATCCTACTTTTAGTTTGAACTAAAATTCAGAGATGTGTGTGTGTGTGTGTGTGTGTGTGTGTGTGTACATACATGACGCTTCTAGCTGAAGCTCTGAGGAGAGGCCAAGAGTTGGCATTTTATTATTGTTTTAGCTATAGGGTTTGATGTCCTCTCTGAAGTCTTTGAGCACTGGCCACATCAGCTTAAAGAAAGGCTTTTTCTTAGACTGCCTGACTCATTTTATTGAAACAAATTTTTTTGATGTCTTTGTTTTTTTCAAGGTATTTGATGAGAGGGCAGCGAACTTTGAAAATCATTCAGGAAGACTTGGAGCCACAGCAGAGAAGGCAGCTGCTGTTGGTACTGCTAATAAATCAACAGTGGAAGGCATTCAGGCATCAGTGAAGACGGCTCGAGAACTCACACCCAGGTTAAGTTTGCTTGCTCTGCATTTTAACGCTGTCATACAGCATTCAGTAAAGTGAATTACAGAAACTTTGTAGACATTTTTGAGCACTTACTGTGAGATCACATTAACAAACACATACATATCCATAGTGTCAAACGTGGTGATTTCTGGGGTTAGGATTATATAGGACTTTTAACTTTGTACATTTTTGTATTGTTTGAATTTCTTTACGACTATATGTTAGTCTTCAAAGTAGAAAACTAGTTAGTAGCTCTCCTTCCTAACATATCTACATATAATTAGGAAAATATTTGGATAATCTTGAGAGGTTAGTTTTTATTTTAGAGTTTATATTGATCCTCAACATGTCTTTGAGAGGATTTAAAAAAAAAAAAAAGCCTCAGCTGTTTCCATAGCTTGTTTTCTTTTTTCTACTTAATTGTATAACCAAGTTATATAATTAGTTATATAAGTAAAGTATAGTTCGTAAGTTTGGGAGCAAAAGAAGATTGGGAACAAAAGAAAATAAATTGAAAAGGAATTAAAGTTCTAACAGGTGATAGTTTTCTCTTCCTCCTCCTCCCCCTCTCCCTTTCATTCCTCCTTCTTCTTTTTCTTCATTTAAAAAATTTTTTTTGAGACAGGGTCTTGCTTTGTAGCCTAGTCTAGCCTGCAACTCCCTTTGTAGCTCATATTGGCCTCGATCTCCCTGCCTCAGCCTCCTGAGTGCTGGTATTACAGTGTACCACCATTTCTGGCTAGGCTTTATAAGTCTGTGATTCTGGCTTTCATGAGAATTTCTGGGGGAGAGATGGGAAGTAAACCTGTCTCACTAATCGATCAACTTTTGCCTATGTAGCATATTAACAAATTCGATTTGGCTTCAAGTCAACAACAAAACAAAACAGATTCTCCTTCCTGCTTCCTCCCTCCTTCTTTTCCTTCCTCTTGCCCCTGACCCCGCCAGCAGTGAATTGCACATGCTAGGCAAACATTACCTCTGAGCTACACTCTAGCCCAAAGCTGTCCAATCTTTTAAAAATTTTTCATAAAAAAATGAATATGTCTAACAAAAAAAAAACCTTTCATAAAACATGGAACACAAAACACAGATTTCACAATAAAACTGAGATTAAGAAAAAAAAAAGAAAATAGAAAAAGAAAACTAGGCTTAAGACACCAATTTGGAAAGAATAAGAACATCTGAGATCTGGACTTGCATCCTCTGTGACTTTGAGGCTGACTAGTTTTCTCATCTTGTGAAGCTAATTCTTTTCTAATGGATGTTTTTGAGCATTAAGAATAGGCCTGTAGCTGGCTGCAGGTGGCTCATGCCTGTAATCGTAGCTACTCAGGAGGCAGAGATCAGGAGGATCTCGTTTCAAAGCCAGCCCTGGGCAGTTAGTTTGTAAGACTCCATCTCGAAAAAAAACCTATCACAAAAATAGGGCTGATATAGGTGTAGGCCCTGAGTTTAAGCCCCAGTACTGAGAAAAAAAAAAAAAGATTCAGTGTACAGCCTGAATCTTAGTTAATGTTATTTCCTTCTTCTTCTCCAAGTACTGTTAGTCATAGCTGGGACTTCTTTTTTTTTTTTTCATTTTTCTTTTATTTTACATTGTGCATACAAGCTTGGTTTATTTCTCCCCCTGCCCCACACCCCCTCCCTTACCACCCACCCACCCCTCCCACTCCCCCCCTCACATTACCCAGCAGAAGACTATCTGGCCCTTATCTCTAATTTTTGTTGTAGAGAGAGTAATAAGCAATAATAGGAAGGAACAAGGGACTCACATTGATTTCCTGTGCGTGGTGTTACAACAAAACAAAACAGATTCTCCTTTCTGCTTCTCCTCCTTCTTTTCCTTCCTCTTGCCCCTGACCCCGCCAGCAGTGAATTGCACATGCTAGCAACATTACTCTGAGCTACACCTCTAGCCCAAAGCTGTCCAATCTTTTAAAAATTTTTCATAAAAAATGAATATGTCTAAAAAAAAACCTTTCATAAAACATGGAAACAAACACAGATTTCACAATAAAACTGAGATTAAAGAAAAAAAAAAGAAAATAGAAAAAGAAAACTAGGCTTAAGCAACCAATTTGGAAAGAATAAGAACAATCTGAGATCTGGACTGCATCCTCTGTGACTTTGAGGCTGACTAGTTTCTCATCTTGTGAAGCTAATTCTTTTCTAATGATGTTTTTGAGCATTAAGAATAGGCCTGTAGCTGGCTGCAGGTGGCTCATGCCTGTAATCGTAGCTACTTCAGGAGGCAGAGATCAGAGGATCTCGTTTCAAAGCCAGCCTGGGCAGTTAGTTTGTAAGACTCCATCTCGAAAAAAAAACCTATCACAAAAATAGGCTGATATAGGTGTAGGCCTGAGTTTCAGCCCCAGTACTGAGAAAAAAAAAAAAAAAGATTCAGTGTACAGCCTGAATCTTAGTTAAGGGTTATTTCCTTCTTCTTCTCCAAGTACTGTTAGTCATAAGCTGGGACTTCTTGAGCAAGTCACTGAAATTTTTGAAGTCTTGTTTTTTGCATCTGCAAAGTGGAACTATTTTCTCTCTCTCACAGGGTTATAGTAAGGACTCAGTAAGATAATGTATGTGAAAGCACTTTGTAGGCAGATACTTTAATTAATATTATTCATGAATTGGGTTTGAATAATTTTTAGTTTATTTATTTGTTGTTTATTTTTAATTTTTTGGAAGACAGGTCTTGCCATGTAGTCCATTCTAGCCTCGAACTTGAAATCTTCCACCTCCCAAGTGCTGGGATTTTAGGTATGCATCACCATACCTGGCTAATTAAGATGTAAGAATTGACATTAAAGTTTTAAATATATGTCAGTCTTGCTTGTTGTATGCTCTGAAATGCTAAATGAATAAACATTTACTTTGACACTTTATTACCTTCTTAAAATCAGCAGTGGCTATAATACTTTTGTGTGAAGGGCCTACTCTGTCATCTTTTACGAAACCAAAACCTGAAAACAGACTTGCCAATTTTGGCTTTATGGTGCCACTGTAGGTAAAGAAGAGAAAAGCTTGTTGCACATTTGTATTTAGATGTGTGAGTGCTCTGATATTTAAAGTCCTTTTTTTTTTTTATCATGGTCAGGTCGTCTCGGCTGCTCGTATCTTACTTAGGAACCCTGGGAATCAAGCTGCTTATGAACATTTTGAGACCATGAAGAACCAGTGGATTGATAATGTTGAAAAAATGAACAGGTAGAAATTTATGTAAAGTTCTTGTTGTCTAATCCATGAATTCTGAGAAACCCAGCAGGACCGGTTATGTTACTCAGCTGCAATTGGATAAAGGGGTGGTCATGTGCCTGACAGTGTACTTGGCCCTGATTAAGGCTGCTGAACAGCGGCGGCTTCTCATTCAAGCTTTGCAACTTTGTCCAAAGAGAGACTGAGTCTCTTATTTTAATGCTGCCCTCTCAGTGTGGTGTTTATTGTTATGGCTCCTATCTTCTCTTTGAATAGTGTCTTTGCCCAGTCTGAGCTAGAGTTTGGTTTCAGAGGCTGGGAGGCAGTGTTTTTGGATACAGTAAATGTCCCTGTCATTTTTGGAGGGTTCACATTTCAAGGAACCACAATAGCTACCATTTAACACAACTTGTCTCAGAGTTTCCTCCAACTTATCAACTACGTAGTTCTAAAGAAAATAAAAGGAGAAACCAATCACCAACAAAACCTGTGTCTGTGCAACTGAAGTAGCACCTCTGAATCTTCTCTGTTCTCTGTGGAGGGAGGGATGACAGAAAGGAAGGAATGAGGAATGTAGGTTCTTCACTGTCCCTGCCGACAGGGGTCTGTAGCAGCCAGAGATGAAAGTGGAGCTCCCGAAGTGTCTGAAGAGAGGTAACAGAAACAAGAAACAGGCTGTTAGGGTTATTGGAATCCTCTGTGTAGCTCATCTCGGAACATTGCAAGCTGCCAGCAACCAACAGATGGCTGGGGAGTGAGACGGGAAGGGAGAAGATGTTATTAACAGATAATGTGGTGGTGATGCAGTGAAGGTTTCAGACATAATCTTTGCTTCCTCCTGATGCTTTTGCATTTCTATTTGTCTGTGGTGGATATAAGAAGGCCAGTGACCACGGTTAGTATAAACTCTGTGAGTCCATACGACTGACTTTCTGGGCTATGTTCCCTGCCTCCCTCCCACCCCCAACCCTTTTCTAAGCTCTTGTGTTTACGTGGACGTTTTTGATTGTGTAGGAAGAACTTTCAGTAGACGGAGAGAATTCTGAGTGTTGTACTTTCTCATAAGAAACAAATGGACAACAGTATTTTGGCTAAATTCCATTTCTATTCTCCTGACAGGACTGGTGGACGAAGCCATTGATACCAAATCTCTGTTGGATGCTTCTGAAGAAGCAATTAAAAAAGACCTGGATAAGTGTAAGGTAGCCATGGCTAACATTCAGCCTCAGATGCTGGTCGCTGGAGCAACCAGCATCGCTCGTCGGGCCAACCGAATCCTGCTGGTTGCTAAGAGGGAGGTGGAGAACTCCGAGGATCCCAAGTTCCGTGAGGCCGTGAAAGCTGCTTCTGATGAATTGAGCAAAACAATCTCCCCGATGGTGATGGATGCAAAGGCTGTGGCTGGAAACATCTCTGACCCTGGTAAGCAACAATGGGTGGTGTGGTTCACCTCAGCTGAAAGGTGAACTCAGGAAAGGTAGTGAGAGAATAGGCATCCACAACCACCACATAACAAAATCTGGAAGCAAACCCTATAGACACTTAGTTTGAGAATGCCACATTAATCTTTTTCTGCCCAAATCTCTGCACTATTGGCCAACTTGTTGATCTCTGAATCATACTCTCCATGCATTTTTGATGTTGTCTTGCTAAAATAGTTCCTACCCCTGTTCAGTCATTATTTTAGAAATGTCTGAAAAGATACATGATAACCAATTTACCAATCATTTAGCTTATGTAACTGGCATAACTATTCTTATACTTTCCTTAAATTTTGTGCCTTATCTCTGTATAATATTTTCTATTTCTGCCAAATCTAGAAGGTTTAAGTTAACCTCTGGATTTCCTCATTCCTGCACTGAAGACTGCATCATCTTTTCACTCCTTTGGTTGGAATCATCTGAATTCCCTCCTGTTTGAACACCCAGTGTTTATACTCTTCTCTGTGAGTAGAATCCAGTGAGAGGAGTAGGAAGAAGGGGCTGCCTTACTCATCCCTGGCCCAGGCAGAATCTTTTCAATATTCTCAATCCACCAATACTAAGGACATGCTTGATTTCCCAATTGGAGTTTCTAATATTTTGAGTAGATTTTTTTTTTTAAAGTAGATTCCTGACTTCAGGTGGCATAGTAGCAGTTCAGTGGAAGAGTTAACATGCTGAATGCCAAGAAGAGCACAGGTGTATGGAGAAACGTGAGAAGTACTCTAGGGAATATATGTCTAGTGTGAATCTGACATCTCGCATAATCTGCACTGGGTAGACCTGTTTTCGTGACTGCCTCATCGTAAAAGAAGTGATGGGTTCCACCCGAGCCCAGTATTTTAAAAAATTTATTCACATCCAGGAATCTCTGAATTCTTGTTAGTTGTACAGCCAAAAGGCACCCCAAACACTACAGGAACAGCTGATTTGTGACACTTCCTATTCTTTGCAGTTCTCAGGGCATCTGACTTGCCCTGCCTTCTTTCCCCTTCACTCACTGCCTGTGATGCTTTCTGGTAGCTTCACATCCATCTCTTGTTAATGGAAACCAGTTGTTCTGCTGTATAGACAGTGCTTCAGGGTACTGACCTGCTCAGCTGAAAGTGAGAGTGTCTTGTGTTTAGGCCTGCAAAAGAGCTTCCTGGACTCAGGATATCGGATCCTGGGAGCTGTGGCCAAGGTCAGAGAAGCTTTCCAACCTCAAGAGCCTGATTTCCCCACCTCCTCCACCAGACCTAGAACAGCTCCGTGTAAGTAAATTCAGAGAGGGAGAATTGAGCAAGGTGTTGAGTGACTACCAAGAGATGAGAGGTAGACTGTGTTTTAGTGCCTCAAGGACCACCTGGCTTATTTTAGCTTTTACTTTACAAGATCTGTCAAAAGCAGATCTGTATTTTCATTCCTAAATCTAGTAGAATCATGACCTAGCACTCATGTGTGGGCTGGTGAGTAAATGTGTGTAGACCTGCTGTGATACGGGTTGTCTAGAGCAGAGGAACTGGCTTTGAAAAGTGTTGATGTGACGAGTGATGAGGTAGTGAGTTGTGCCAAAATAGTTTGCACAGCTTGTGGTGAGCAAATTTTGTTTTCCCAATTGTTAATGGTAAAACTGAGGTGGTTAGGATCTTGTATAGGTTCTTTCCTTTACTTCTTCTTCTTTCTTTTAGAAACAAAAATAATACGTTTTTTTTTTTTAATTTTATTTTTACCCAACTGTAATTTCAAATCTTTTAATATTTCTTGCCCACCCAAGTACTATGACTGTATTTTTCCATGGTTTAGGAGGAAGTTAGCTGGACAGTATCTTATAGATATAATCCTAGTATTTAGATAATTACTCCAACAGAACTGGAAGTACTTTAGTGTAGGGAGTGGCTTGTCAAGGCAGTAATTTCATTTACTCCCTTTGATATATTTTTTCATGTAATAGTCAGTAAAAGATGTTGAGTTGGTCAAGGACAAAATAGGGTCATTGTGTACACAGCTAAGAAATAGTGCTTCCCCAGCCTCCAGCATTTCTTTGATTATTTCTTCCTGATTCGAACCTTGGATGGTTAGAGCCAGGGGATAGAGAGATTCCTGGAGAATGGCTTCTTATGTCATCAGTAGGGTCATGACATTTAGAATCAGGATTTTAGAGGTCATTTGGCAGATGAGGAACCTGAGGCCCAGGTGAGAAGTCATTTGCCTTGGTCAGGTACTGCAGTGTGTGCCTCCCTGGAATATGACCATCACAGTAGTGGCTAGCTTTTTGTGAAGAAAAAAAGACATGCTTCTGTTGAGATTGCAGCAGGTGGTCCTTGTGTCTCAGTGTGGGTGAGCTTATGTAGAGTTGATGTGGGTGGCTTTTTTAGATGGTTTTAGAGGAAAGAATTCTGGGTGTGTGTGGGAGGGGATAGAGAGTAGCTCCTAGGGCTTTATTTAAAACCTACTTACTCCCTTTCTTAGCTAACAGATGAACTTGCTCCTCCCAAACCACCTCTGCCTGAGGGTGAGGTCCCTCCACCCAGGCCTCCACCACCAGAGGAGAAGGACGAAGAGTTCCCTGAGCAGAAAGCTGGGGAGGTGATTAATCAGCCAATGATGATGGCTGCCAGGCAGCTCCATGATGAAGCTCGCAAATGGTCTAGCAAGGTAAGTATTGAGGCTTTTCTTGTTGAGAAAGGATGTCTTCTTAGAAAGGATGAAGAACTAAGCACACATTCCAGAGAAAAGAACTTATATGGAGTCAACCTCTCGCTCTGCTTTGGTTCCTGTGTTGCCAGTAGCACGTTCCTCTTCTTACCTGTGATTTAGTGAGATGTTTCTGGTGCTTGATGGTTTGTTTCTCCTTTTTGTATGTAGCAACAGTGAAAGCTGGATGCCTTGGTTACAGAAGAGGATTCTTTTCCTCTGTCCACTAGTGTCAGTTGTCCTGACCCTGGACATTTGGGGTCTCTTAGAAATTGTTAACCCTTCTTGATTGTTGAATGTTATTAGATGCTCAGTTGCTAACTGTCAGAATACCAAATATGAAACTGTCTTTTGTGGGATATGCTTATAGCCAGATGAAATATTTGCATTAAGAAGCAGGTAGACTGATGTCTTAGAAGCCATGCTCGTCCTTTTTCAGAATCATCCTACTTTTTAATTTGATGCTCTAGGCTAACTCCAAATGCAGAAAATTTGAAAGTGCAAATATTAATGTAGTGGTGAAAATTTGGATGCTGTAACAGTTAATTCCCCATGAATAACTTTTGCCTGTCTTTCCCTAAGTAGTGAAAAATGAGTGGTAACTTTTCTATATAATAGCAATATATTATTGGTAAGCTTGTAGTAGAATGTAGTTCCAGTTTATTTCTAAACTGTTTCTATTACAACCCTAGATCTTCATTCCCAGAATCTAGTTCCCTTTATTACTGTATTATTATTATTTTTTTACATCCTCAACACCTCTAAGCTCTCGTATTGAATGTAGTTCCCAAGGGACTGCCTACACCTACAGTTGATCTTGGTTTTTTTTTTTAGGCTGGGAAAATGACCTTGGTTTTCAACCCTGGGTTTTTCTAAACTATTAGCTGTGAGCCCAGATTCTAAGAAGGAATGGAGACCATGCTGGTGTCGTACCTGACCTGTGGCATTATTTATAATGGTTTCTCTCCAACTGGGACATGCACTCCCTGCTACTACCATGTGGCAGAGTCCCACTATCCACTGTTACTCTTGATAGTGAGGGTTGGAAATTTAAAGAAAATTTAAATTTCATTACAAGTAACTCACACATAATGTGCAGAACACAAAATATATGTGAATGATAAAGATAAAACTTATAAGGGGCAGATAGCATTAGCCTGTATATTTGCCCCACTCTGCCCATTACTGCCATAGGTCCTTAGATCAGCGGGTCTCCTGAGGTCTGGAGAATCGGGTTTGCTGACTTAGAATTACAAAAATGAAGTCGGGAACTACTTTCACTGTGTATGTGTTGGGGGCAGGAATATGTGTTTACATGTTTTTGTCACTCCAAACCATTGCAGCAGTCAGCTAGCCTCTCCTTTAAGGAATGGGAATGAGTTTTGAGTGAGACAGAGTTTAAAATTTTGATGGTCCCTGACCCCTTGTTGGTCCTGAATCCTCCAACTTGGTTGTCATATTTTGGAGACAGGCTTTGTGTCAAGGATTTTTTTTAAAAGACAGAGTCTTTTTATGTAGCCCAGGTTAGACTGGAACTTGACACATAATCCAGGTTAGCCTCGAACTAATGATCATCCTGCCTCAGCCTCTTATGTACTGGGATTACAAGTGTGTACCACACAGCCAGTAGGATAAGACTTTTAGGAGTGATAGTAACCTCAAATACAATTCCATAAAAACTCCTACTTCCTCATGGTTACAGATGCTTGATGTAAAGAATCTATGTTCACCATTCTTCATATAAATGGCTTCATTAAAGTAATTCCTTTTTTTCTTTCTACTCCAGCCTATTTTCAGCATCTGACCTTTTTAATAATTCTCACCTCTGGTACATAATTCATCTTCTCTCCCTCATAGTTCCTATTCTTTCATGTGCACCCATTTCAGGCTCCTATGAGAGTTCCTTTGAGTTCCTCATTCAGTAGCAAAGTCTATGTGATACCTGATCTGTAAACTAGTAAGTTGAGTTTAGGGTAAGTGTGAACCCATTTTGCAACAGTAGAGATACTTAGGTTGTATTCAGAGAGACACTTTTGGAGTTGATACTATCAATACATGCAATAAGACATTGTAGAAGCTTTACCTCTGAAGAGCTTGAGGGGAGAGAAAACTGGTCTGAGATGTAGGTTTTCACTGTAATGGAAGCTGGACAAGGTGTCTTCTTTTTTTTCCTTGTGGTACTGGGGTTTGAGCTCAGGGCCTCACGCTTCCTAGGCAGGAGCGCTACCACTTGAGCCACTCTACCAGCCCAGTTTTGTGTTGGGTATTTTTAAGATAGGGTCTCACAAACAGTTTGCCTGGGCTGGCTTCGAAATTGTGATCTTGTTGATCTATGCCTCCTGAATAGCTAGGATTACATAGCTGTGAGCCACCACTGCCTGGCACAAAGTGTCTTCTTGAGGCTTCCTATACCTGGGTGACTGTGGGGCACTTAATGAATCCTCTTCACTCACAAACCTCGTTCCTGGTTTGGCATTTGTCACCTTTGACATATCATTTTAAATTCTGGAACTTTTGAGTCCTAAAGGAAATAATCTGTCTGCACCTGCAGAGCTGACTTGCTGCTTCCTGTGTCCCAGCATGATCTAGAACTGTGACCTTATGATCCAGGAGGGTATTTACTTTTTCTGTTTAAAGCAACTTACAGCTGCTTTAATTTTTTTTTTCTCTCTCTGGATTCCTTTTAAAGGTAATTAGCTACAACTTAGTTGTTTGGTTCTTCAAAAAATGTTCTGACCCAAGAATTACTTTTGTTAAGTTTAACTTTAGCATTAAGTATATATCATTTAACTTTCTTTGTATAAATATCTCTCTGGAAACCCTTTTCCATTGGAGCAAGTCCCTTTTCTTCATTCACCACAGGGTTCATTGAGCTGAGTTTCCCTTTCTGTGGATGGTGGTTCATCTGGGCTCCTGGAGAGTATACCATTTTCTTTCCCATCCTAGGCAAGCTTTGGTTACTAAACCAGCTGAAGCTCAGTTTCCCAAGTCCTACTGCTCTTACTAACACTATCCCTGTTTCTCATCCTTCCCGCCATCGACAAAGCCGGGTTTCCCAGCCGCTGAGGTGGGTATAGGAATTGTAGCTGAGGCTGATGCGGCTGATGCTGTTGGGTTCTCTATCCCCTCTGACATGGAAGACGATTACGAACCTGAGCTGCTGTTAATGCCTTCTAATCAGCCGGTCAACCAGCCCATTCTGGCCGCGGCTCAGTCCTTGCATCGGAAGCTACCAAGTGGTCTAGTAAGGTACTGATTGGCATCCTCAGTTGGGGCTGCTCCAAATGCATCTGGCCATGTGCAGCCTTGACACCTTGCATCACTCATGATCTGTGCGGGTCCTGTGAGTCTGAGCAGGGCGGGTATCTGTCTGTCTGCACCTTGTTGTTAGGAGTGGCTTCACAAATATGATAGGTCTGCTAATGGCAGATTAGTTGGACTGCATTTCTGTTTGGGGGATAAAGAGAAATGGGGCCACTTTTTGAAGATTCCTTTTCTTACCAACTTTGTGGCCATTGTTGAAACTTTAAACTCCTTGGGAAGCTCTGGATGCATCTCTCAATGACTTCTAGGTCAGAAGCCATCGAAGACCATTAAGAGGTCTCCTGGCCTGACCACTGAGCTTTGCCTGACCCCCACTGATCTCTCACTGGTGGCTCGGGCAGAGCTGATCAGGGCGAGCAACTTTCTATGGCAGGGTCTCTGGGGAGGACTGCTTGCTGCCTTGCACTCGGCTGTGTGGCAGTTGCTGGTCTTGATGGGAGCCCACAGGGGAAGGGGCTTCACTGACTGCTTATTCAGGTATCTTAGTGGGAGGGGGTGAAAGTAGAAAACAGAGGGCTCACAGCTATGGGATAGGCAGCAACAGAGCTTTGGCCTTGGGGACCAGGTCGACACTACTTTGGGGAGCAGAGGTATATGTGGGAGTGATCACATTTTTATCTTTGAAGGTGGCATGTTGCAAGAAAGGGTTTGATGTGTGATGGGTAATTACTAACCCTGGCACTATGCTGTCTTCTAACCAAAGTCATGAAATCCTAAACGATTCGAGGGTCTCATCTACCACAACCCACCCACATTTTTTCTTCCCAACCCTGTGTTCTCTCTAGCCTCAGTTTATTGCCTCAGATATTACACACCTTCCAGCATAAACAATTAGACAGTTTATGGTGCCAGTTCACAGAGAGGGATGTTCTAGCAGCCCTCTGGAAAAGGTGGCATGGTTTGTGTATGCTTCACTGTACTATATAGAAATTGAAAAGCATGAGGGGAAAAATGAGTGGGGCCTGGCTGTTTAAGTAGCTTTAAACATTGCAGTTTCTGTAATTTTAGATTGTTATGAGCAAGAAATACGTTGCTTGTATGTTTCTTTATCATGACCCATGAGAGTTTTAGTGAATCAAAGGACTAGGATAAACTACCATTAGTGAGAGTGGGAGTTCCATTTACAGCTCGACTCATGGTTTTTATTTTTTTGATTCCTCCTTTGGCATCCTATTAGCTGAAAGTCAGCTAATAGGCCTCACTTACGTGAGGGGATTCTTGACCTTTTTACATGTGAAAAATTTAAAAGACATGTTCTTTCTGGTTGACAGGACAAACAAGAAGCAGTAGAGGGAAGGCTGAGAAGCAGTCTAGATCAGAAAATAGCCTTTTTCCTTTAGACTGAAAATAATTACTTGGGGTTTTAAATTTTAGTAAAGTAGTGAGAGTCCTTGGCTGCTATTTGCAACAAGGGTAAGGATGGAGAGGGTGATTTTAGCATCTGGAAAAGGCTCCTCTGTATTTTTCCTCTCGGGCTAGCTTAACTGCTCTCTCCCCTATTATAGAAAGGAAAATGCCTGTTTAGCTAACTCTTTGGCTCGGTCCCCATGTTATTGACATGATTAACCTGGAGATGCTGAAGTGCTTGTTCAGTGCTGTGCCTGGAGCATACATGTTGCCCTTTCAGATTAATATCCTGGTTTTCCTTTTTTTCAGTTAGGAGATTCTCTCTCAATGAGTGCTGCAGTGAGTGCTATGCCTCACTCTTCTCTGTTTCTCCAGTGCTATCCACATCACTCAAGAACAGTTTTTTTTTCCTCTTCTCACCTTTCTAGAGGGCTGCTAGAACAGCAGGCTCCCTCCTGTTTTTGCTGTTTTTCTCCTTCCTTCCTTAATTTGGCTAGAGTGTGGGCAGAGCTCACACTTTTATGTGCTTCTCTCTAGGGCAATGACATCATTGCAGCAGCCAAGCGAATGGCTCTACTGATGGCTGAGATGTCCCGGTTGGTAAGAGGGGGCAGTGGTACCAAGCGGGCACTCATTCAGTGTGCCAAGGACATCGCCAAAGCCTCAGACGAGGTGACTCGGTTGGCCAAGGAGGTTGCCAAGCAGTGCACAGATAAGCGGATTAGAACCAACCTCTTACAGGTACTTGGGAAAAGAGGTGTGCATGTGAGAAAGTTTGAGCAGGAGGGATGGGAGGAAGAAAAGCAGCAGAGAGGAAAATGAGTGGGGGAGGAAGAAGTACTGAAGAGGGGAAAGAAACAGCAAGGGGAAATACATGTATATTTGGAAAAGACAAACTCAAGAAAATTCATTTCCTAATCAAATGAAAGAATCTGGATGGTTACATTTCTGGACAAATGAACGGGATTGACCATAGTTACAGGGATAAAACAAGAATTTATGTATTTTATTTTATTGCGATACTGGGGCTTGAACTCAGGGCCTATACTTTTAGCCACTCCACCAGCCCTTTTTTTGTGATGTGTGGTTGTTTTTTTGTGTGTTTTTGAGATAGGGTCTTATGAACTATTTGCCCAGGCTGGTTTTGAACCTTTACCCTCCTGATTTCTGTCTCCTCAGTAGCTAGGATTACAGGCATGAGCCACCGGTGCCTGTAATCCAACAAACAAATATATTACTGCTAATTAATTCTGTGCCTTCTGCATGCTAGCCACTGACAATAGAGGTGGATGTCTTACCCTCAAGGAGCTTGTGGGCAAGACAAAGACACATATTAAATTAAACTTTTTTTTTAGGTATGTGAGCGAATTCCAACTATAAGCACCCAGCTCAAAATCTTGTCCACAGTGAAGGCCACCATGCTGGGCCGGACCAGCATCAGTGATGAGGAGTCTGAGCAGGTACGGGTCAGCTGCTTTTGGTTCCTTGCCCGCAGTTTCTCTGCTTTTCAAATGAACTCAGCATTAGGGAAATTTTTAGTGTGTGGGATGGACTCTTAAGACTCACTCTTTCAGGACAGCCTTTGTTGGAGAGAGGCATCAGAAATTTGAGATTGGGAATGAGGCTCTTGTACAACTTGTCATTTTACAGATGGGAAACTGAGGCATAGGGAGGTTAAGTGTTACCTCAGACACCGATATGAATCAGCGTCAGTTAGGAATCTACTCAGTTCTTTTCTCTCCTGGAGTATCCTCGGCTCTTGTTAGGTCCCAATGTCTGTTTACTCCCCTCCACCATGTCTTTTTGGCTGGAAAATGTTTGCTTTCTAGCTTGCTGAGTGATTTTTCAGCCTCAAGGGGATGAATAGCACAGAGTGTTCAAGGGAATGAGGTGGTTGGGCCTGTGCTTAGATTGAAACAGCAGCTCAAGGAGGTGCTTTCTTTGTATTCTCTAGTTGAATAGATCTTTTTATTTTTGGTGGTACTGGGGTTTGAACTCAAGGCTTCATACTTGCTAGGCAGGTACTTTATCACTTGAGCAACACCCCCAGCTCCTTGTATTCTCTTTAGTTGTATCTGGCAGATAGGAGAACCCTTCCTCATCCTTGTTGCTAAGTGATGCTTCTTGCATGTACCTTAGTAACCACTCCTTAGAATTTGTCCTTTTTCTCCCCCTCCTGGAATTGTGCCCTAGAACTTTCAAAACACCTTTCCTTTCCTTTCTCTTTCTCGTAGGCCCTGTTCTGAGCCACATTTCCCAGAGAGGGGGTCATAGATATTATGGACAATCCCTGTCCTTGGGGGACTCATGAAGAACTTTGGAGACTTTTTCTGATCTCTAGAATAGGAGACAGAGGCTAGGGACACTGTAGAGCAAATGAGGAGGCTATTCTTGGTGACATCATTGCTGCTTCCACTACATATTCTAATATAACAGCTCTTACCCAACTCTCTCTTCTCCCAAACAGTGGGAACTGCATCTTTACCCCAAATTTTGATATAGTCTAAGCAAAGTCTAGGCTGTTTTTCTGTCATGTGTCTTCTGCCTAAAGGTGAAAAAAATGGGGAAGGAAAAGTAAGACTCAGAGATTCAGGATTAATTTATAGTTAATCATTTAACAACAACAAAAAAAATACCTAGGGAATATCCACTATATCCCATTAAATACTGCAGGAACATTAAAAAAAAAAGGTAGAAACTGACAGTGTGGTAGAATAGAATAAACACAAGACTGCAACGGAGATGTCTTTTTTTTTTTTAATGGTACTGGGGTTTGAACTCAGGGCCTCATGCTTGCTAGGCAAGCACTGTACCACCTGAGTTACACTCCAGCTCCAAGTGAAGTATCTTGAGTCCCCATCCTGACTCTTGTGTGGGTATGGCTAGCAAGGCTCCAAGACCTCTCTGGGTCTGAGTCCTTTTGTTGACCAGCAAAAAGATCAACTGATCAGGAATTCTAGCTCATAGTTATTTCTCCCAGAGCTTGTGAACCCTCTGAAATTTCATGTACTGGACTAAAGAATCATTAATTTGAATTTCTATGTGTAGAGTACTAACAAAATCCTAGTCCAATAAGCATGTGTAACTGGAAAATTAGCTTATTTAGATTTTCATAGATTTATAAGGTGGTTGGTTGCTTGGCTGGTTTGTTCATTTGGTTGTAGTTTTTTAATTCATTAAATATTTATTAAATACTTACCCATGTGCACATCACTGTCCTAAACACTGGAGAAAAACAATAAACAAACTGACAAAAAAAATCTGTCTTATGGAACTTAAATTTTAGTGTGTAGGCAGATAAATTTTAAGACCCCAACAATCTAGGTAAAACAGATACAGTCCATCAATTAGTGATGATGGATTATATGGAGGAGGAAGAACTGGAGGCCAGGAATGATGGGAGTTGGGGAGGTGTTTTGTGACTTAAAATATCATGAGAAAGGAAAGCCTCCCCAAAATGATAGTTAATATGTGAAGGACATAGGATGGGAAGCCATGAGTTTCCTGGGAGAAAAGCATTCCAAGTAGAGGTTATAGTAAGAGTCCTGAGATCAAGAGAGTTCATGTTCTAGGCCATTGGAGGGCACAGTATAACACAAACAGTGATGGTTTAGTTTTGGGTCCTTTTTGGTTATATAGCTAAACCACTAGTGAGATGTAAGCTTAAGTACAGGGGATACCAGTACAAGTGGGGTTAAGTGCAGCTTACTTTTGGATTAACTCTGCTTTGGAGGCAAGAGTGCATCAGGGACTATAGTAACAGAGAGCTCTTCTTGCATTGCAGGCCACAGAGATGCTGGTTCACAATGCCCAGAACCTCATGCAGTCTGTGAAGGAGACTGTGCGAGAAGCAGAGGCTGCTTCAATCAAAATTCGAACAGATGCTGGATTTACACTGCGTTGGGTTAGAAAGACTCCCTGGTACCAGTAGGCACCTGGCTGGTACAGAAACCCCTACTAAAGAGAAGAGTGATTTGAGTTCCAGGAGCCACCCAGAATTGCTGGGGATTGAAAGCCACATCCTAGCCTGACACATAGGAAAGGAACGGGGGCCTCCTCACATAGAAAACGTTACTCTTTTTTCATGGACACTTTGAAATGTGTCTCCATGTAAACCCCGTACTTTCAAACACAGTTATACTTGTGCACACTCTGAGAATCCAAGAATGAACACTAGCCAGACACTCTGCTCCTTAGGGGACATTTCCCTGTTTCTTTTTCTGGGTCCCATTCTCCCCTTCAGGCTCAAGACCCAAGGCCCAGGCAAGTTAGTTAAGAAATTCACTGTGTCTCTAGAAGCTGTTTCTGGTTTCCCATGTTGCTGCCGATCCTGCCTACCTTCCCTGGGCATGCTACCTGGGTCCTTTGCAAAACTTTTTTTTTGCAACTTTGCAGGAAAAGTTGGCCTCTGGGGCGCCCTGGTATGTGTGGCCTTTATTCATTTCCTGTCCTTTCCAATTTAATTCTTCTGGTTTCTCACATTTATAAAACCAAATTTTACTGTCAGGAGGAAATGACAGAATCACACGATTGTCTTTCCTATGTTCCTGAGCAATGTCTGTGCTAGGAAGCTACCCACCCTGTCTCCTGCCTCAGTTGACAAGGTAACTACCCCACCAATACACTGTGTATCCTGGTGCTCTCTGCCACTTGCAGGGCAGAGTAGCCAGGGTTTGGCTCTGCCCATGCTCTTTGCAGGGCCACTCCCAGGCGGTCCATGCTTTGTCACTGCCTGCAAAAGATCTGTGCTGAGGCCTTATCATTCATTCTTAGCTCTTAATTGTTCTTTTTGAGCTGAAATGCTGCATTTAATTTTTAACCAAATCATGTCTCTTATCCTGGGCTTCTGTAGTCTTCCTCTATCCTGTTCCTAAATAAGATTTTAAAGATACACAGGTGTGTGGTTGTCTGTAATTTTTTTTTTTTTTCTTGAAATGTGGTCTCGCTATGTTGCCCAGGCTGGTCTTGAACTCTTGGGCTTAAGTGATCCTCTTGCCTCAGCCTCTCGAATAGCTGGGACTACAGGTGTGTGCCACTATATTGGCTTTGTCTAATTTTGAAAGATTTTTTTTTTTAATTTAGTCCTAAGAATTAGTGCTTCCTCCCTAAGAATGTTTAATGGAAAGGCAATCATGTCTGAAGAACACTTCCTACCTAGAGGAAAGTGGTATTTGCAGACTAGAATTGTGGTGCTGCTGGGGATGAATCAGTATGAAATGCTCTCCTGTAATCCTTCCTTCAACCAACTACAAACGAGCCCTGTAGGTTCTCTTAAATACACCTGTTCAAGAGAGTAATGAGTTTAATCACCACATTATGTTTCCTATTAGCAACTTACCTGTTTTTTGCACTTATCACTGCTATCTAAGTATTCTTCAGAACATGAAAATTATTTCTTCCCAAACACAGAACCAAATGAGTAAAGAAGTAAGACACCTTGCCTGGCTGTCCTTTCCCATTCCCAGTGTGTGTTAGAGTTCAATACAGAATGTGTAAATCTTTTCTTAATTTGGTCCTGTATACTCGGGCATCCTCTATTTCCTCTTAACTGATAAAAGATTATTTTCAAGGCTGTCAGCATACTTGTATAGCTGCTTACTTGATATAAATGCAATATTAATGCCTTTAAAGTATGAATCTATGCCAAAGATCACCTTTTGTTTTACTAAAAATTACTTAGCAGAAATAAGAAAAATCATGTTTGCTCTCCAAGTTTTTCCGGTGTTTTGAGACACTGGTTTTATACTGTATGCCATATGCTTTTCTCAAGTAACAGTGCTCAGACACAGTGAAGCAAAAACAAAACAAAACAGACAAAAAGACCCTGAATGATGACTTAACAGTCACCACTAAAAAAACATTTATAAGCTAGGATTTGTTACATGCAAATATTTTCTGCCTCTCTTGTTTTGTTTAAAACAATAAAATGCATTTATATAAATAATGTTTTAAATGATGGGTATGTTATTTTTAGCAAGAACTTTTAGGTCCTTTGTTTTTGAAGAACAGCTAATGAAACTAACCCTCAAGATCTGGAAACCAAAGATTTTCATTTAAACCAGTTGGAAGCAGTAGAAATCAATAGTAGTATACTTACTGTGTGATAAAGGACAATGCTGGGATTAAAAGGAGTGGAAATGATAAGGGTTACCAGTAGACAGAAAGTAGCCAGATGATATGGATTACCAGTGGAAGATTCTAGCTATTACTGGAGGTCATTGTCCCTTAAAAAGCTTCAGTTGTGAAATGTGTAGCAGTATCACAGGGCCATTTTTTTTTGAATATTCCAAATCCCAATATAGAATAGTAGTGTTGTCAGGGATCCATCAGGGCATTGAGTCAGATTTAGCTTTTGGGGGTATATTCCTCTTCGTTCTTAAGGAAGCACTGACTATAAAAATAGTACGTAGTTTCTGGACAGAGTTGGGACATCACTGTTTGTACCTAATTTTTTAGATCTGAAAAGGTTAAATTTCATTAAAGGGTGATATTTAGTGTTGCCAACTATAGGTATCATTGCTTTAATTTAGAAAAGTTTCCAGCCACAGAGGCAGATTCCAGTTTGTGTTCAAGTCTACTGAATTACTCAGCAATCTCTAACACTGCCTTATCTTTGCTACTTATCCTATGCCTTCCTGATGCATTATAGTTATTTTCTCAAATCAGTTGCTTCTAAGGACAGTAAGACCAGCATATTCCAGGGGCTTTTCTACAGCACCACTTAAGCAATGAACCCATCAAATGAACTTCCTTTGAAAAAAATGGAGACTCCCTCATGCAGTAAATAAGTTATTTCATTTGTTCTGAGGATGTAATCCTTTAAGAATTTAGAAAAAGGGGGTATCTAGGATTAGCTAACATTATGTACCTGAAAAATATTTGATTGCTGAGCATTCACAGATCTACATTGGCAGGTGATAGTGGTAAGGAAGGTAGTTATGATTACTTATCACTTAGTCTGTGTCAATGAACATGCCAAGTTGAAGAGAGGAGCTCTTGGATGTGTTTGCAGCAATCTTCACACCTTGTGATAATACAGATCATGTTCAGCTTGTTTTGACACTGAGCCTTAAAGTGAGAATGTTCAACAAGCTTAAAAAAAAAAAATCAAATTTTTTTACTTTCATCTTTTTATTTGACAGTATAGCCAGAGCTAGACAAAGGATTTACTGTATTCCATCAAATTAATAAACAATAATTATAAAAGGAAACAGTGTACTTGGATGTTTTAGTAAAAATTGCTAGAGGCAGAGGACTCTTGGCATACATTCTAATTGAAGAGAAGATAGCACAGGAGAGAAATTGGACAGTCCAGGTATGGATGGCTGAGATTAGGGATTCTGCACAAAGAAAAACAAATATGACTGATCTTCAAGGTAGTAAGAACAGGAGGCTGGGGATCTAGCTCAGTGGTAGAGTGCTTGCCTAATGTGTACAAGGCCCTGGGTATGATACCCAGCACACGTGCGCGCGCACACACACACACACACACACACACACACACAGACAGATTAAAAATAGGAAAAGCAGCTGAATTGGATAACCAATCTTAGGCAAAGCGAATAAATATCTGGCAGCATTTTTACTTTAGTTGCCAATCCATTGGTTACTTTAGAAATTTAGAAGTTGCAAAAAGTGGCAACTTCTCATTAGATGAAAGGCAGGTTGGATGCCCCAGGCAGGCAAAGGCACCAACCACTAGCACTTGATAGCATGAATGGGATGAGTATAAGAAATAGTCGTAGCATAATAAGGGAAAGCATTATAAGATGAGAAGAATGAAGGAAAATAATGGAGCCACAAAAAAGAAGACTAGTGTAAGTAAAATACAAGAGCGAGCAAACACTTACACTAACTTTCAGCCGTCCTCCATTTCTTTATGTTTAATGAGGCAAAATAACTGGGCAGAGTCTACCAAGCTAATGAAGTTCAGTGAAATGATATAACTACAGACTGACTTTCCAACCATGAAGATTAATGTTATCATGAATATTACTGAAAATTTTGTTTCTGACTCCATATAATGTTCTTCCATGTACTTAGTACAGTAGAGACATTTAAGTACTCCAGTGACAATTTCTGACAATAGTTTCAGGAGGGAATCTATCACTATAGCCTTGGGATGCAGGTAATAAGAGAAGTTTTCCTAAAAACAAGGGATATAGGAAATTTTAACCCTTAAAGAACAAAATAAAAGATTAAAAAAGAAAAACAATAGTGAAGCAGACACATTTTCCTCCTTTTGTTGAACTAGGGCATGAGTCTTTTAGGCTTAGTGGTACTGGATAAAGCTTTATAAAATATGTAGATGGCAAAGGTTTCACTTGTTTCTCTTTACTTTAACTGGCTTAAAAATGCAAACACTTGATAACTTCCTAAAAGCAGAAATAGTGTTCCTTTTATTTTAATAAAGCATTTACCCCTTTGAAACAAATTTTTACTGTGCTATCTAACAGCTGAACCACTGACACAAAGTTGAGATGGTACTATACACTGCAGCAAGGTCCTTGTAAATCAAAATCTGAGCTTTACATAAAAATCTTATTTATAAAAAATATAATACCAAGTACAGTGAGAATGGACCATGGAGCAGCAGTGCTCCCTGCCAGGGCCATGTGCAAGTGGCTTTTGCTACAGTGCTTGCTTAATGGCACAAGTGAAAAGCTGAATAAGGCAAACACTTGAAGAGGCAGCTTTTGTAAACTTCTTGGGATGGGAGTGGGGAGGAATTTCTTCTGTGAGGATAGATATTGATTTGAGATGGCTAAAATCAGAAGGTGTGACATTTGGCTGCACCTGACATCATATACTGATAAAGACAGTTCTTGCTGGATGAAACCAGTTCATATCCATTAACAGAGAGGTTATCACTGTAGCCTTCTACCTTTACTGTTAGTGTTCAGCATCCAGCTGATGGCCCCTAGAGAAATCACCTCTGAAGTTTTCCTAAGCGGAAAGATAAAAAATTAGCTAAGTCATTACAAAAGTTTCCTTAGCTTAAAGCTTCTTAAGAACCCTAGTCAATTACTAAGCAATTTTGTTAGTGGTGTGTAGCTTGACATAAATGCTTTAACTAGAAATACGTATTCCCACCCACTTGGTACTTAATAGTAATAAATTGTAATGACACTTGGAAAACAAACTGATCTTGAGGAATTTCGGCCTCTTCTCATGTCCTCACTTGGAACTTTCCAGCTTTTGTGACATATTTGACTCCTTTAAATGGCTTATATTTCTCCCCATACATGTCCAAGCGATTTACTTTTAAGCCTGTGTCAAAAAAAAAAAAAAAAAAGAAACATTATTGTTATCCCAATAATATTTATTTAGCAATTGGCACTATACTGATACTAACCATTGTCCCTTCCACCACTGGAAGCGATGTTCCTGTTACCACTCATTAATTATTACACTGTAGGAGTATGGTTTAAGTTATGCTGATACAGCCAGTGAATATTTGTTAGGGCTAATTCTATTTTTTTTGGTGGTACTAGGAAGTTGAACTCAGGGCCAAGCTCTCTACCACTAGAGCTACACCACCAGCCCTTTTTGCTTTGGTTATTTTTGAGATAGGGTCTTGCTTTATGCTTAGGCTGGGATGGACCACAATCTGTCTCTTTGGGCTTCCTTGCATAACTGAGGTGACAGGTACGTGCCAATGTGTCCAGCCATTGGTTGAGATGGTGGGTCTCATGAACTTTTTGCTCAGGTTGGTCTTGAACCAAGATCCTCCTGATCTCAGCTTCCCAAGTGTATTACAGGCTTGAGCCACTGTGCCTGGCCCATATAATTCTACTTTCTGTGAACATGAATGACTTCCCCTTGGTGCTTAAATGAAGGTGGAGAAAGGCTGTGTGAAATAAGATCTCTCCCAAATCCTTGGTGTCCCTTAGCACTGTGTAAAAGGCAAACTGGAGCTGCTGCTGTTTCTAGAGTGGGAATGTTTATTACTCTTCTAGGCTCCTAATATTTGGGTGAGGCAAAATCAAATTACCCTTAAACACATTATCAAGTTTATCCTTACCTGAAATAGCAAGCTGCTGGATTTTGAACTGTATGTTGAGGCTTGGATTCTCTTCTGGCTTGGGTGCTCCAGACTGTAAATTTACTAGACCTTTAAGACTTGGGAGCTTTTGTGGAGTAATTTTTCCCACATCCCATGTGAGTATCTTAAAAAAGACATAAAATCAAAAACAATCTGAACCATTTTTTAAGACAAATGTTCAAAGACAAGGTTCAAAGACGCCATAAACTTTTATACAAAATGAAGCAGTATCTTGGAAATGGGAGACCTCATGTCCACAATGAGTTCAGATCAGTGGTAAGCTCTATAAGTGAATGGAGAATGAAGGCAGAACATCAACGAATTCTGAGCATTCACTTTTGAATATAGCAGTGTGACTAACAATATTCATGTTATAGAAACCTACAAATTTATGAATTAGGAAATTAAGGGTCAGAAACATCACATGACTTGCTCAAGGTCATATAGCTAATTAGAGGCAAAGGTAAGACTTGAACCTAAGGCTATCTGATTTCAAATATTTTCATTATACTACCTTCATGACTTTACTCTGGGCCTGTTTATTTTCCTGTAAAGTGAGAAGACTAACTTATGTTGCTGTTCTCAAACTTTTAGCTATGAAGCCTTTGTTCAAAAGAAACTGTTTGGAAAGTGAATAGTTTGGTGAGAAAGTGAAGCTGTTATGGGTTAAAGCTGTGGTGGAAGGCCAGGGATCTGGAATGCCTCTTCCCAGATAGGTGGTGTTTGGGAATCCTTAGGGACTGGGTTAGATGATCTTTAATTTTATTGAAAAAAATGCCCTTTCAGCTGGGTGCCGGTGGCTCATGCCTGTAATCCTAGCAACTCAGGAAGTAGGGATCAGGAGGATTGAGGTTTGAGGCCAGCCTGGGCAAATAGCCCGCCAGACTCTATCTTGAAAATACCCATCACACATACACAAAAAAAGGGGTCGTGGAGTGGCTCAAGGTGTAGGCCCGGAGTTCAAGCCCCAGTACCGCAAAAACAATAACAAAAAGAACAAACCCCTTTCATTTATCAGGCAGTTCAATGAATGCTGCTGAAAACAATTACATTTTCTACCCAATCAGGAAACTTGAGTATGAAATGATATGTTTAAGTTAAAACAAACAGGTCATAATGTTGAATTTCTACAGAAAATCTAATAATTAACCAATAGGTTAATTAATTATGCCTTCCTATATCTATAGTTTTCTCTCTTTAAACAGCTTTCTTTATTTTTCTTGTGGTGTAGGGGATTGGACCGAGGGCTTTTCATATGCTAGTCAAATGCTCACCCACTGAGCTATATCCCTGATCCTAGCTCTTACTTCTTTTCCATTAGATAGTGAATGGCTGGATTATCAATGGATGAGTAAAAGTACACTGTGAAGAGGATCTTCTGTTCACCTACTCAGCACATGTAGGGTTTCTTCTATGGCTAGTGGCAGAAGCATAGCACAGTCTGCTTCTAGGTTTTAAGAACTTAAGATTTAAACAAGAATAAAACCCCTCTGCCCTTCACTCCCAATCACACAATATTGCAGAAACACCTGCTCACTCTTGATTTGAAGTGGCTGTACCTTGGTAACTGGATCAAATGTATAGCTGCCTTGTGTTGGTGTCAGGTTCATATTCAGCACAACTTTCGGCATGTGAACGGTCACTGTGATTCCTTCAACTGTTTTTCCCATATTCTGTTTTGGTCCAATTGTTATATCAAATCTGCCACAAGAACTGTTCTCCTTAAAGCTGATACTATGTTTCACATATACTGGTATTGCCACTAGGCTACAAAGACAGAAGGAAAGACACAAAGGCACATACACACAATTAATGGTATGGGATAACTTCGGAAGTGGTCTGAAAACCGCAGCCCAGAGTATTCATTCTACCATGTACCTAACTCCACAACGGGGCTCTAAAACTATAGATTCAGCATCTGCACAGAGGGAGTTGATTACAGTACAATGTGCCAGGAACTGTATGAGTTCTCACCAATGATATACAAACCAAGTCAGAAATCTGAACTTAAATTACATTATAAGCACCTGGGGTGGCCAGTATTGGTGGTTTATGTCTGTAATCCCAACTACTTGAGAGGTTGAGAGAGAATTATGGTTTGTAGAGAGACCCTATTCAAAGAACAAGCTGATGGATTAGAAGTATGGCTCAAGTGGTAGAGTGCCTGCTTTGCAAGCACAAAGTCCTGAGTTCAAACCCTAGTCCCACCCAAAAAAAAAAAAAAAAAAAAGAAAAATCAAAGAACAAGCCAGACATGGTGATTCACTCTGATAATCCCAGCTATTTCCTAGGAGAATGGAGGTCCAAAGATGGCCTGGGGGAAAAATCATGAGATCCTATCTGAAAAAATAACTAAACCTGGAGGCATGGTTCAAGTGGTAGAGTGCTTGCCAAGCTAATGCAAAGCCCTGAGTTTAAACCTTAGGACCATAAAACAAAGCAAAAACCAATTTGGGCAAATGACCCTAGTTTTAAAAAAAAAATGAAGGCCTCAGTGAAAAATAATTTTCAATTATATACACTATGTGATAAGAAATAATTCCTCTGCTTCTGAGTCTTGAGTTACCCAAATGCTTTCTGAAATTTTCAAGGGATAAGCTGGCTACAACCTAGAACACTCAACTGTTCTTTTAAAACTCAATGCAAACCAGGGGTGGGAGTACATTACCTATAATCCCAGCACTTGGGAAGTGAAGGCAGGAAGAACTCTAGTTCAAGACCAGCCCTAGGCTGCACAGCAAGATTGAGGCTAGCCTGGATTATATAGCGAGACTCGAAAACAAAACAAAACAAAACTAAACTAAAACATAATGCAGAGAAGGGTGACTTGAAGTGGTAAGAGTATGTTCTGGGATAGGACTGTCTCTTGTTAGCCCCAAAGTCTGTAGACTGTTAAAATTAAGGCACCAGATTCATGGTTTTTCCTAGGGTATGCATGGTCCAAAATGCTCTTAGCTACAAATTATACTATAGTATCATTTACTAGTTCATCTATACTCTTAGATTCAAGGCAAGCTGACTATTTTAGGCACATAATTTTATCAGCTCTCATTAGGTCTTTTGGTGAGCCATGGTTAAAGTGAGTAATGATAAACTCAAATGCCAAACTATCAGAATGAACAGGGAAAGGCGAGTTCTATTCAGCACATTGATATGTGATGGTAAATTTTGGCTGATACATCAACATACTTTTGTGAGCTGACACGGTACGATATGAGTCGGAAATTTCCATCTGGAGGAATAAATGACAAAACTCGTTCAGATTCCCAGCGTTTGAACCGGATGCAGGGGTGGAAGCTGACATCATCCAGAAGCCTTGGGTTCTACCAAGCAAAGACAAGTTGTATTCAGAGAGCATAATGAGTATGGCCACACTACTCATATTACGAGAAATTAATATGCTCCTTAAAGAAAAAGCAGCTAGACATGTAAGAGTTTATTATGACCACGTCAGCACAATCTTATAGTGATTTAAAGTTTGCAAGTATTTTACATAATTTTACTTGAGATTTAACAACTATGGGGGAGAAATGGCAAGTAGTATTATTTTTATTCCATAGATAAAAAAGCTGAGGTTCAAAGAACTTAGGTCACGAGAAACTGGAGACAAAGACAGTACCATAACTAATTCTCTTAATTGTTCTTAATAGCATGTTATGCTGATTCTGAATGAATAAAAGATCAATGCCCTTTCATGTAATCAAAGCAAATAATTACTCAGTAAAAAATGACACTGAAGATTTCCAGAAGCCTGGCAACCAATTTTAAGCCACTTCTAGCACACTTATGTGAAGACCTCTCCTCAGCATTTCTATAAAGGCCATGCTCATCATGCAAGCTACTGTCTTAGAAAGCTGTGCTAGACAGGAGTATTTCTGAGATAATCTTTTGCAATCTAAGATACAAATTTATCTCTGCGGTTATTTTATTTGATGCTTCATATATGTTAGGCATGTAAGGGTATAGAACAGGAGAATAAAATTTACCATGAAAGAGAGAGAGAGATCAGGCATTCCAGATAACTTAATGCAAGCATCAATGACCCCTTGAATTTCTGCAAAGACTGTAGATCCTGAAGAAAGGAAAAAAAAAAAAAAAAAGGGTGATCAGCATCAATGGAATTTGGGTCTTTACTGGCATGATTACTTATCTACAATAATAGATAACAACCTTAGTTGTCAGACTTACTGAAGCTTTGCACCTCAGTGACAACTTTTTTACTGAGAGCTAGGTCTATACCTACTTAGTTGGAATATAATAATTCTAAGGAAAATCAAACTTGTCTTCATTATAGAGTCAACCTTGTAAGACTACTAGATAGTTAAAATATTTTTAATAGAATTTAAAAATGAGTGATGGCTTCTTATAAAATGAACTAAGTACTGGCTAATTTTTAAGAAATAGGAAGTGGCTCACACCTGTATTCCTAGCTACTCAGGAGGCAGAGATCAAGAGGACTGTGGTTGAAGCCAGCCTAGGCAAACAGTTTGTGAAACCCTATTTTGAAAATACCCAACACAAAAAAGGGCTGGTTCAAGTAGTAGAGCACCTGTCTAGTAAGCACAAGGCCTTGAGTTCAAGCCCCAGTACTGCAACACAAAAGAAAAAAAAAAAAAAGAAATAGGAGCCTGTCAGGTCCTGGTGACTCATGTCTACAATCCTAGCTACTTGGGAGGCTAAGATTGGGAGGATTGTGGTTTGAGGCCAGCCTGGACAAACAGTTTGTGAGACCCAATCTCCAAAAATAACCAGAGCAAAATGGAAAGCCAGACAAGAGGTGTGGCTGCAATGGTAGGGTATCTGGTTTGCAAGGGCAAAGCCCTGAATTTAAACCCCAGTCCCACCAAAAAACAAAGAAAAGAAACAGGAGCCATGTTATTCTGTTAAGATGGAATGTTATAATGGAAAGGGCCCTCACTAATAGTAAGATATTAGTTATAATTCACAATAAGTCATTGCCACATATTAATTAGCTATGTGACCTTGAACAGGTCACTTAATCCTTAATCCTTATCAGCCTCAGCTTCCTTATGTATAGAATGTGAGGATAAAACCAGATATTTTATTGGAATGATATAGAGAAGATTAGCATGGCCTCTGTGCAAGGGGGACACACAATGTCATGGAGTATTTATTCCATATTTAAAAAAAAAATAAAACCAGCCAAACAAAAGAGATATTTTAATAATAAAATTTTATTGTTTTATTAGAGTACCATTGTTTTGTCTGATTAAAACATAATCACAAAGAGGTGTTTACTAGAAGTACTGCACATAGCTGAGTATCAATGGCTCACACCTTTCATCCTAGCTACTTGGGAAGCTGAGACTGGGAGGATCGAGGTTCTAGGCCAGCCTGGGCAAACAGTTTGCTCCATCTCCAAAATAACCAGAGTAAAATGGACTGGAGGTATGTGGCTCAAGTGGTAGAGTGCCTGAGTTCAAACTCTAGTTCCACCAAAGGGGAAAAACAAAACAAAACAAAAAAACAAAAAAAGCTGTTTAAAAAAAAAGAATTGGGTGCTGGTGGCTCATGCCTGCAATCCTAGCTACTCAGGAGATGGAGATCAGGATGATTGAGGTTTGGGGCCAGCCTGGGCCCCAAACCTCAAGACCCTATCTCAAAGACCCTATCTCAAAAGTACTAAACACAAAAAAGGGCTGGCAAAGTGGTTCTACCGATAGAGAGCCTGCCTATCAAGTATGAGGCCCTAAGTTCAAATGAGTACCACCAAAATAAATAAATAAATAAAAGTACTGCACATAAAGTAGTAGGAAAATTATGGTATATTGTAATTATGTAATAACCGTTAGAACAAATACCGAGAGAGAAATAGAGGGTAATAACTAGCTTAAAGTAAGGTCTGATTTAAAAGTCTTTGGCAGATTTCAATTAGTGGTTATGATAATTATATGTAACATTGGGGCAAAATAAATAGATTTATAAATAATTAGAGAATGAATGCCTTTCCACTGAAACCACACTGCCAAGAGATTTCGATTTTCTATTCAGCTGTGTCAGCTGAATTGTTTTTTTCTCCCCATAAGACCACATGCACACAATTACCTGATTTATCTATAATTGCATCTATTTCTTCAACAACATCAAAATAGGCTTCGTTGTTTGTGTACTTTACTCCTGCGCGTCGCCATGGGATGTTGGACAGCTGCCCAGTAGGGAGTGTGTCCCCAACATTGCTACTGCCTAGAAATCAGAAAAGAAGAAAGCAAAACTTCCTCTGTATAAAATGACCCTCAGAAAAGCTATTATCAGAAAGAAAAGAATGCTTTAGCTGCTTCTTCAGTGTTTAGGTTTTTCATCACTGAAATTTTGTATGGTCTTAAGAAATGTTGGATGCATAACTATACTAACCTAATCTTATTTCTAAAGGACAGAAATAGGCTATGCGCTTCCCTATCTACCTGACAACCAGGATAAATGCATTTACTTATCTTTTGTTTCCTGTGGTTAACAGTCACTAAAGATAATTCTAGTAGCTCAACAACAGAATCTCATTATGCTGCCACTGAAGAAAAGTGGCTGGTTGTTTCAAAACCTTCTGTTGAAATATGTCTCCAATGAGCATACAGAGTGAGAACTTGGCTCTTTGGTTTTCAGTGGAATTCTATATGAGATGCTGCCAAGCAGACTTCAGTGGAGTAACTAGATTAAGAACATAGTATAACTTTTTGTTTTCCTGCTTGAAGGTCAGCACACTCATTTGGCTTTAGTATGGCTAATGTTCTTTATCTGGCTAAATTCCTGGTAAATTGATACATGTCTGATTATCTGACACATATATCCTTGAACTGTTGCTTCATTTTGGTTAATTTACATTTTCAATGAAAAAGCAATAGTACATGCTTAGTCAGGAAAAAGAAAGCTCAGACAGTAGATTAAAACAAAAAACAAAAAGTCAATAAACTGGATGTTGGTAGCTCACACTTATAATCCTAGCTACTCAGCAGGCAGAGATCAGGAGGACTGTAGTTCAAAGTCAACCCAGGCAAATAATTCATGAGACCCTATCTCAAAAATACCCAACTCAAATAAAAAGGGGTGGTAGAGTGGCTCAAGTGGTAGAGCACCTACTTAGTAAGTGTGAAGCCCTGAGTTCAAGCACAAAAAATCCCCCCAAACAAAACCAACAATTTTTCTACCATTAACATTTTGGTGTATATAAATTCCCCATAGATAACATTTATTTATTTTTCTATTTTTAATAACTTTGGTTTTTTGGGATTGCACTTTAAAATACATTTGTAGGGCTGGGTGTGTGGCTTCTACCTTTAATCCCAGCTATGCAGGATTATTCAGGAATATATCTCACAAGTAGATTAATTTCCTATTTCTTCTTATCTTACCTATTTCCCCCCAGTGAATCAAGGGATTCACACATGCTAGGCATGTGTGTGAGCTACATTCCATCCCTAAAAGTCCTTTATCACTTAAGACCCAGCCTTTTTCAATAAAAAGAAATACACACTCATTTTAACATTACCAATAACTTTAATTTTGGCTCATTTAGACTACCTTAATAATCTGTCAGATCATAACCAACCATGAGTTGTTTATAAAGCTTTTTAATTGTTTAGTTCCTAGCAAAGCATGCACTTCTCTTTCATACCTGTAATAGAGTTGACGACAGAACGCAGAATTGTTGGTGGTTTAATCAGTTCTTTCAAAATGTTAGATTCAGTAGCCAAAGGAAATCCATTATCTAACATTTCTTCCAAGAGCTCATATACTATGACAACGTTATCCTTAATTGCCGCCTCTGAACACTCACCAAAGTAGTCCTAACAAAATATTTATGACATTGAAAAATAGAAGGAGTAAAGAAAGGCTTTTATTGCTAAAACCTTTTGGTTCTGAAGAGTAAATTTATAGTATCACAACTCATTGTTTAAGATGTAAAACAGATGGGAATAATAATTCTCTATAGTTTTAACACTATTCCTCAATATTTTGTTAAATTTTTAGATTGAATTTTTTATTGCAATTATGCGAGAAAGTATTAAAACATTTAAGTATAATGTGACCTATAAACTTCATTTGCCCTGAATAACTACCCACAAACATACATAGATAAAATTTAAATTATTTACTAAATTCTTCAAGAAAAAATAATAACATGTAAAGGGTTCATGGTCAGGAGAATGAGGGAGGAGGTAAACTCCATGCTGATATATTGTAAGAACTTTTGTAAGTGTCACAATGTACCCCCAGTACAACAATAATTTAAAAAAAAGAGTTCATGATCATTCATGATAAAAATTCTGAAGAAACCAGGAATAGAAGGAATATACCTCAATATAACAAAAGCTATGACAAATCTAGAGTCAACATCATAGCAAATGTTTGTGAAAAACTGAAATGGTTTCCTCTAAAGTCAGCAATGAGCCAAAGGTATCCATTCTTCCTGCTTTTATTCCAATATAGTGTTTGAATTCCTAGCTAAAGTAGTAAGGCAAGAGAAAGAAATAAAATGGGTAAAAACAGGAAATGAAGAAGTCAAATTAACCCTATTTACAGATAAAAGACCCTAAAGATTGCACCAAAAACTTCCTCGATCTGATAAACAGTTTTGGCAGAGTAGGATAGATAATCAACATACAAAAATCAATAGCTTTTCTAAATACCAACAGTAAACAGACTGAGGAAGAAATCAGGAAAACAATCCCATTCACAATAGCCTAACAAAAATACCTAAGAATAAACTTAACTAAAGAGGTGAAAGACCTCTACAATAAAAACTGTAAAACACTGAAGACAGAAATTGAAGAAGACACTAGAAGATGGAGAAACTTCCTGTGTTCATTATCAGCAGAATTAATATTGTGAAAATGGCTACACTACTAAAAGCAGTATAGAGATTTAAAGCAATTCACAAAAATTCCAATGTCCTTCTTCACAGAAAAATAATCCCTAAAATTCCTATGGAAACATAATGAATGAAGACCCCGAATACCAAAAGCAATCCTGAGCACAAAAAGCAATGCTGGAGGTTTCACACTACTGAATTTCAAATTATAATATAGCACTATAGCAATAAAAACGGCATGGTACCAGCACAAAAATAGACATAGACCAATGGAATAGAAGACCCAGAAATAAACCTACACAGCTACAGCCATCTGATTTTGACAAAGGAGCCAAAAATACACACTGGACAAAAGACAGCCTCTTCAACAAATGGTGCTGGGAAACTTGGATATCAACATGTAGAAGACTGAAACTAGACCCCTATCTCTCACCCTGTACAAAAATCAATTCAAAATGGATTAAAGACCTAAATGTAAGACCTGAGCCATTGAAACTACTACAGGAAAAAACATAGGGAAGGCACTTGAAGATACAGGTATAGTCAACTATTTTCTGAATAGGACTTTCTACTGCTTGAGCCTAGGAAATAAGAGCAAAAATTGACAAATGGGATTACATCAAATTAAAAAGCTTCTGCACATCAAAGGAAACCATTTCTTGAATGAACAGACGATTCACAGAATGGGAGAAAATCTTCACATTGCACAAAGGGTTAATATCCAGAATATGTAAAAAAGTTAAACACCAATTAGTAAATAATGGGCAAACAAAATCTCAAAATAAATAGATGAAGAAATAAATGCATGAAGAAATGTTCAACATTCTCAGCCATAAAGAAAATGGAAATAAAAATGACACTGTGATTCCATCTCAACCCAATCAGAATGGTTATCATCAAAAAAATAAACAACAAATGCTGATGAGGATCTGGGGGAAGTGGGGAGAAGGGAAGGAACCCTGATAAACTGTTGGTGGGAACGTGAATTAATAGTGTAGCCACTGTGGATATCACTAAGGAGTTTCCTTAAAAAACTAAAATAGCCAAGCTCAAAAAGCCAAATGATGCATGTTTGCACCCATATGCAGAATCCAGACCTAAAATGATAATGTGACATGAGTATAAAAGGGGAGATTGTCTGGTAGGAGTAGGAAGAGGGTACTGGGAGATGAATGTCATGAAAGTATATATATATGCATATGTATATATATATATATAAGATAGCATAATGAGCCTCTCCCAATTACTGTTTAAAAAAGGGGGGAGAAGGTAAAAAAGAAGGGGTGTATTTGATCAAAGTACATTATATGCATGTATAGAAATATAATGAAACCACAAAAAGTTTATTAAAAAACAAAAGTTCATAATCCTTAGAAATCTTGGGACCATGAAGAGAAAGCAAGTGGAGGTACTACTATTTCCTGATGATATAATTAGTACATATGAAAAACAGCACAGAACAGCCATGTGAGCCACTGTATACTCCATAGCAAAGGATTTATGAAATTGTGCTTAAAGAGACAGACAGTGCATATCAAAAGCTGGGCAATTAATATCATCATGTGCCTCTTTTCTAATTAATCTGGATAATTTAAATTAGAAAGATCTGATGGATAACCAACCTGAAAAGTGTCAGCAACTCGATGTAGGAACTCAATTACAAAGAGTGGTGGCACTTCAGTCTGTATGACAGAAACAAAGAAGAGCTTATCTCGATAGATACTGATGAGGTAGTGATGAGGAGTTGAAATGACAGGTGGTACATTTTCAACATCAGCAGCTTTCTCCTGAGCTTCAAAGAAATAATCACAGACAGACTGGCTCACAACACTCTTCCAGTGCTTCTCTAGAAATATGTCACCAGAGCAGTTTATGAGAAATAGACTGTGGATCATTTTCTGTGGAGAAAAAAGGGTTTACATTTATTATACATCAGAAAATATCTTTGTATTATCCTGACACAAAAACCAGACAAAGGCAATACAAGTAAGTACAGGTCAATGTCACTTAAGAACACAGATGTAAGCTGGGTGTGCTGGTGCAAATCTGTAATTCCAGCACTCAAGAGGCTGAGGCAGGGGGATCAGTTCTAGGCCAACCCGGGCTATGCAGAAACACCCAGTCTCAAACAAAACAAAACAAAAAATAAAACAAATTCCCCACCCCCCAAGGGAAAAAAAAACAGATGTAAAAATCCTTGAGAAAATACTAGGAAACCAAATCTAGCAATGTATATAAAAAAGTAGGATTTATTCCCAGAAGGAAAGTTTAGTTTAATGTAGGAAGTTAATCAATGTAAAACATAGTATTAATAAAATAACAGACCAAAATGATCATTTCAAAAAGTTCAGAAACAGCAAAATCCAACACCCTTTTATGAAAAAAAAAACCCTTAAATCAGAAACAGAAATATCTTCAACCTGATGAAGAGGATCTATGAAAACTTTAGGACAATTATATATTTAATAGTGAAAGACCAAAAGCTTCACTTATAAAAATAAGACAGGTGGGTGCTGGTGGCTTGTGCTATAATCCTAGCTATGCAGGAAGCAGAGGTCAGGAGGATGGGTGCTCAAAGTCAGCCATAGGCAAATAGTTCAAGAGACTCTATCTCGAAAAAACCCATCACAAAAAAAGGCTGGCAGAGTGGCTTAAGCAGTAGGAGCGTCTGCCTAGCAAGCAAGAGGCCCTAAGTTCAAACTCCAGTGACAACCTACCCCTCAAAAAAAGAAACAAATGGCTTCCAAACTGGAGAGGAGGAAGTAAAAAATATTGATACAATCTTGAACACAGAAAATCCTAAAGAATACATACAAGCACACACACAACAGTACTAGAATAAATGAACTCAGCAAGATTACAGGATATAAGATTAATATAAAAAAGTCAAACGTATTTTTATATACTTGTAATAAATAGTCTAAAATGCAATTAATTTCATTTATAATATTTTTGAAAAGATTTAGATACTTGGGAAATAAATAAGTGATACTTAGGAAATAACAAGTGAGCTATAAAACTTGCACATTCAATGTTACAAAACAACACTGAAAGAAATTAAAAGATCTACAAAATGGAAAGACATTCCATATTCATGGACTGGGAAGAGTTTGTTAAAATGCCAATAATCCTCAAATTGACTTACAGATTCAATCTAAACCCTATTAAAATTCTAGCTGCTCTTTTTTTGTGGAAATTGGTAAACTAATCCTAAAATTCACATGGAAATGAGAGACCAAGAGCAGCCAAAATATACTAAGCTTTTTTTTTTTTTTTTTTTTTTTGCAGTAATGGGGATCAGACCCAGAGCCTTGCACGTGCTAGGCCAGAGTCTTACCAGTGAGTACATCCCCAATCCAAGAACAGTCAAAACAATAGTGAAAAAGAACATGGATGAAGGCTCTTTTACTCACTCTTTCCCATTTCAAACCTTACATGGATGAAGGCTCTTTTACTCACTTTTTCCCATTTCAAACCTTATTTTAAAACTCCGGTGTGGTCATCTCTAGCAATAAAGGAAATGCAAATTAAAACCACACTAAGATTCCACCTCACCCCTGTTAGAATAGCCATCATTAGCAACACCACCAACAACAGGTATTGCTGAGGATGCAGGGGAAAAAGGAACCCTCTTACACTGTTGGTGGGAATGTAAACTAGTACAACCACTCTGGAAAAAAACTTGGAGGCTACTTAAAAAGCTAAACATTGATCTACCATATGATCCAGCAATACCACTCTTGGGGATATACCCAAAAGTGTTACTCCAGAGGCACCTGCACACCCATGTTTATTGCGGCACTATTCACAATAGCCAAGTTATGGAAACAGCCAAGATGCCCCACCACTGACTAATGGATTAAGAAAATGTGGTATCTATACACAATGGAATTTTATGCAGCCATGAAGAAGAACGAAATGTTATCATTCACTGGTAAATGGATGGAATTGGAGAACATCATTCTGAGTGAGGTTAGCCTGGCCCAAAAGACCAAAAATCCTATGTTCTCCCTCATATGTGGACATTAGATCAAGGGCAAACACAACAATGGGACTGGACTTTGAGCACATGATAAAAGCGAAAGCACACAAGGGAGGGGTGAGGATAGGTAAGACACCTAAAAAATTAGCTAGCATTTGTTGCCCTTAACACAGAGAAACTAAAGCAGATACCTTAAAAGCAACTGAGGCCAATAGCAAAAGGGGACCAGGAACTAGAGAAAAGGTGAGATCAAAAAGAATTAACCTAGAAGGTAACACACACGCACAGGAAATTAATGAGTAAACTCCTTGTATAGCTATCCTTATCTCAACTAGCAAAAATACTTGTTCCTTCCTATTATTGCTTATATTCTCTCTTCAACAAAATTAGAGATAAGGGCAAAATAGTTTCTGCCGGGTATTGAGGGGGTGGAGGGGAGAGGGAAGGGGTGGAATGGGTGGTAAGGGAGGGGGTGGGGGCGGGGGGGAGAAATGACCCAAGCCTTGTATGCACATATGAATAATAAAACAATAAAACAACAACAACAACAAAACCCAAAAAAAAACACTCCGGTGTGGTAATAGAGAAATGGGGAGTTAACGGTAATGGATTTGGTATTTTGTTTTTGGGTGATAAAAATTTTCTGGAATTAGACAGAGATGATAGTTGTACACATTTGTGAATGTTAAAAATACTAAATTGGGCTGGAGGGGGGCTCAAGCAGTAGAAAGCGTGTCTTGCTAGCACAAAGTCTTGAGTTCAAACTCATGCACTACCAAAAACAAAACAAAAAACCCCCCAAAACCCCAAATCTAATTTGTACACTTTAAAATGGTAAGTTTTGTGGTATATTAATTATATTTCAATTTTGAATATTATTTTTTGGGGACTGACTGCTGGGGAGCAAATCCAGGACTTCATACACATTAGGTAAGTCCTCTAACACTGAGCCACACCCTCAGCTCCTAGTATAAAGGAAAAATAGATTGTAGCTTATTTATAATAAATATTATAAAGCAATGAAAACAAATAAACTATTGTTATATCTTACATAACAAAACAGAACAAAGCCAGATGTAAAAGAATATACACAACCAAGTCCTATTTACATGTCTTTAAACAGGCAAAACTAATCTTTGGTATAAGAAATCAAATGGTTCCTATGGAAGAGAGTTGAAGACTTGGGAGGGTCCTGGAGCTGATCTACTACGGTGTTGATACCTTTCTTTCCCTTCTTCCTTTTCTCCCTCTCTTTTTTTTGAGATAAGGTTTTATGGCTTTGAAGTTGTGATTCTCCCGCCTCAGTCTCCCAAGTGTATGTGGTTAACGTTCTGCATTTTGAGATAAATCATTGGGCTTTACGTTATGATTTGTAAATTTTTTTTTGTGGTGCTGGGGTCTGAATTCTGGGCCTTGTGCTTCCTAGGCAGGTGCTCTATCTCTTGAGCCACACTCCCAGTCTGATTTGTAAAGTTTTTTTTTTTAAGGAGACAGCTATATTTCAAATAAAGTTTACTGTTGGATATACAGTTTAAAAAAAATGAAGGGGTGGAACCCACTGGGGGCGGGTTCCAGTGGGGGAGGGGCAGGTAAAAGGAAAGGGTGAATGAGGATGAATATGGTGGATGTATATTGTATTAATATATGAAAACAGAATAATAAGCCAGGTGCCAGTGGTTCACACCTGTAATCTTAGCTACTCAGAAGGCAGAGATCAGGAGGATCATGGTTCGAAGCCAGCCTCTGGCAAACAGTTCAGGAAACCTTATCTTGAAAAAACCCATCACAAAAAAAGGGCTGGCAGAAAGAACACCCGCCTAGTGAGCATGAGGCCCTGCATTCAAAACCCAGCGCTGTCAAAAAAAAAAAAAAAAAAAAAAAAAGAATGAAACTTGTTGAAGTTGTTCTAAGAATATGGGGGGGGAGGGAGAGAGACAGAGAATGATTTAGAGGGTAAATGTAATATATATTGTAAGCACATATGCAAATATCACAATGTATCCCCCTATACAACTATAACATGCTAATAGAATTTTAAAAAAAGTTTACTGTTGGGTTGGGGGTGTGGCTCAACCAGTAGAGCTCCTGCCTAGTAAGGCTGTAAGATTAAACCCCAGTACTGCCTAAAAAAAAAAAAAGTTTATTGTTGCTGGGTAGCCATCGTGAGGCATGCCTGTAATCTCAGATTCAGGAGACTGACCCAGGAGGAATGTGAATCTAAGGCTAGACTGGGGTATATATGGAGACCCTGTCTGAAAAAACAAAACAAAAACCAAAAAGTTTATTGTCCATGTAATATGGGAGTCAGTGGAAAAATGTCCATTTGCCTTAATTTGTTCCTATTTATATTATGAATAAGCACCAGCATCAGTTTTTAGTGTACTGGTACAATCATTCACAGTAATAGTACCGTAAGATACGTGAAACCAAAGAAGAAAGATTTAAATCTATTAATAGTCTCTACGCATGAAGATAACTTTCAAACAGGATAGGAAGAATTTCCAGAATTAGGTTTGTTCAATTCTAATTGAACACAAAAAACAATGACATTAACTTGGCTGATTCTTTTGAAAGGAAGTCACTTATTTTATGAAAATAGTTGATACTTATATCAACTATTCTTCTGATGATTCTGTTGACTTATATCAATTTATATCTTCTGATGATTTCCCCTTCCTATGTCGCGCCATGTTCAGTAGTTACTAAGCAAATAATACTAATTACTAAGATACGTTTTAGTAACTATTATATTAATAAAGTAAACGCTAAAGATAAAAAAAACCCCAAGTTTTATAGTATAGGGTTTATTAATAATTTATGGTTCTTATTAATTAGAAACAAATAATGTTTCTTTGTTCAAAGTCAGCTTTTTGTTTGTTTAGAGACAAGGTCTTGGCCACATAGTCCATGTTGGCCTTGAACTGGAGATAATCCTCCCTCTGCCTCCCAAGTGCTAGAATTAGTAGAAAAGCATCTGATCAGATAAAGTACAAAAATTTGGCAGGCCTCAAACCTACATTGTCAGTTTATTGCTGCCAACTCAAGTTGACTGCTTGGCAAATCAGAGATGGCTTTGGCCAAGCATGGTGGTGCACATACGAAACCCCAGTAATTGGGAAGCTGAGGCAGGAGGATGGCAAATTTGAGGCCAGCTTGGGTCTACATAGCTAGACCCTGTCTCAAACATCACCAATGAAACTCCTCCAAAAATGTGGACTCAGATTTGAGCACCTCAGGTAAACCAGCTATGGAATACAGCATCCTTTGCAAATATTAATCTTTCAGCTTCTTTGATGTTTTATTCATTAAGGATGAATTAATAATGAGTTAATGGGCCAGACACTATGCTAACACTTTATATCATCTCACTTAACTTTCACAATGCTATACTATAAATACTCCATTTTTGGTTAGCTTGTTTTTTGAGACAGGATCTTGCTATGTAGCCCAGGCTGTCCTGGAACTTGTTATGTAGCCAGGGCTGGCCTGGCTACATAAAAGGATTGAATTCCCAATCCTTTTGCTTCAGCCCCTAGTAGTGGGATTATATTTGTGATGCACCATGCCTGGCTCTAAATACTGCCTTTATCCTTCTTTTACAAATGAGATCACACAGTGTCAGAGCCAGGATTCAAACTTAGACACAGGTGACTCCTGAGCTCCTGCTGTTACCAGTCTTTTACAGGAACATATTTGAATGTAGCTGTTCAATAGGGTTTTCTGCAATGAAGGAAATCTCCTTTATCTGTTCTATCCAAAATGGTAACTACCAGACACACCTGGCTATTGAGCACTTGAAATGTAGTTAATGCAACTTAGTAGTATTGAAGTTTTAGTTAATTAGTAAATTAATTATTATTATTATTTTTTGAGACAGGGTCTCTCTATGTTGTTGCCCTGGCTGGCCTCAAACTTGAGATCCTTCTGCCTCAGACTCCTGAGTGGTGGGATTATAGTCATGTGCCACCATCCTCAGCTAATTTTAATTAATTCAAATTTAAATGACCACATGTAGTTAGTGGTTGTTACATTACTGGACAGGGTAGTGAATGTGCTGTTTTTTAGGTTATGCTTTAAGGACAAGTTGACTGATATACTTTTTTGCTTAGTAAGAAGTCAAAACATGTTATAGTCTTTATGCTGAGAGAGTTTAATGGAGTAGAAATTTTATGTAAAAATAGTTGACATAGGTTATCTCAAACCATTCACCCTATGGTAAATATAGTTCGTATATTTCTATGACCGCAATTCACCCTAAAAATTGAGTTGCTTGTTCTTGAAGCAAGTGACTTTATAGTTTCCTCATTTTAGAGCCAGATCTCTATTCATCCTCTTCAGCTGGTGAAAAATTCTTTCCAGGAAAGTTTCCACCAAAGTTGTTTTCATTGGCAACAGTTCAGATTTCAGAAGAATATAGTAAGTTAAACCAGCCTGCTGGATTTATGGCTGTTATTCTTAGTGCTGAGATGAAAGCATAACCACACTTGCAGCTCTCAACAGTGCTTAGCTTTAAAACCCATCTTAACCTTCTATAATAGGAAGAGACCTTATTTCTTTAGCAATTTCTCTAGCAATATTCTTTTAGCAATTGTCTATAGTATATCAATATAACATGGAGCAGTATAAATTAGCCTGTTCTTTAGCTATTTATGTGTTTACTAGCTTTAGTTACTATTTTTCAGTATTTTAATAAACTTTCTGAGAAAGCTATACACTCGCGACTGCCACAGCTGTTATTTATTCCTAGTGATTTTTGAGTCACAAAACAGAATTGTGTTCAGAGAAAGTCCCATCAGAGCTTTGACTACAGCTTAAATAAGTCATTAATCCTCTTTACTACATGTTGTATACGCATCCTGATGTTGCATAAGAAATACGTTTATAAGAGTCAAAATATCCTTGGAAGATAAGTGCCTAAAATTGTGTTCCTCTTGCCATGTACCACAGGGTGACCTTGAATACATGATCCTCCTGCCTCTGCCTCCCCATTGCTAGAATTACAGGCATGGGCTCCCACTCCCAGTGTGGGAACCTTTTTGGACTCCACTCTTCTACCCAACTGCAAGTTAAACCTTTCCCCCGACATATTTTAAAATTAATTTTTATTTTTTAAAATGTAAATGGATAAACTAAAGTTGTATATGTTTATGGGATAAAGTTATACTATGATTTATAAATAAAATGTGGGATAACTGAATCAAGCTAATTAACACACGTGGGAAAATTAATACAGTAGAATGATGTATATCTGTTTACCTACTTAATCTGTGCTTTATACATAAAGGTAGTATAGTTTTCTATGCCTCACAAGAAGAAGTTTTTGCCCACATTGAGAATGCATGATTTAATACACAGAGAATATCGATAATTTTGGTAAAAGTTTTAGTGGTAGCTCATCTCAGTAGGCTGAGAAATAAGTAGCAAAAATGGTGGGTGTAGTGGCTCAGGTCTGTAATCCTAGCTACTTGGAAGTAAAATTGGGGGGCGGGGGGGAATTAAGGCTCCAGGCAAAAAAAATTTGCAAGACCCCATCTCAACCAATAAAAAGCTGGGTGTGTTGGCATGTACTTGCCATTCCAGCCATGTGGTAAGTGTAAAATAGGACTGCAGTACACTATTTAAAACATAACGAAAGCAGAAAAAACTGTGGGTATAGTTCAAATGGTAGAAGTCCTGCTTAACAAATGCAAGGCCCTGAGTTCAAGCTATCCCCCCGCCGCTCCCCTTCCCCCCCAAAAAAAAGCAAGCAGGAAATAAGAGAGATAAGATTCAAGAAGTCTAGCTGGGAAGGGGATAAAAAGACAAGAAAACAAACAGGGTAGTTCATAAAGTGAAGAGTATTTTTAAATTCTGAAGGCATGAACAGTGAAGCAAAGGTTGATGTAGGAGGCAAGGGACCCTGAGAAGCAGTAGAGGACAGTATTGGGAGACTAGGTAAAAGAATTTGAGTTCCTAGTGGGTGGTTCATGCCTGTAATCCTAGCTGCTCAGGAGGCAGAGATCAGGTTTGAAGCCAGCCCAGTCAAACAGTTTCAGAGAACCTATCTCCAAAATATCCAACACACAAAAAAGGGCTGGTGGAGTGGCTCAAGTGGTAGAGTGCCTGCCTAGCAAGCATTAGGCCGAGTTCAAACCCCCCAAATAACTGACATGTTTAAGGAGAAGAAACAAATTTTCCTCTTCAAATGGTGGGAAAGGTTAGGGCTCGGGGACTGGGGAGTGTGTAGCTCAAGTGGTAGAGTGTTTGCCTAGCAAGTGCCAGGCCCTGGGTTCAATCTCTAGTACTGCCAAGAAAAAAAAAACAAAAACATCCGGTTGTGGGAAGATAAAGCCTTCCATTTTCCTTGTGTAAATGGGAGAGGTCATTTGTACAGGGCAAGAGTTCTTCTCTACAAATACTATTTTCTACCCATGAAGTAAGGTATTATTGAGCTACTTACAAGTATCTACTCTTCAAGGAATCCTAATAGTATATTAAACTGAATGATTAGAAACATTGTAAAAATATTAAGATTCTATAAAAAGAACTAAGCTTGTCAAGATAGCTTTCCTGCTAAAGTGACAAAAGTTTCAAATAATTCTTCATTCACCTCATTGGCTCTACTTTTCCTATGGACCCAATTAAAATGTCCCTCTTTCTTTCCAAAATTTAATCCCTGGTTATCTTTGTCTCATTCCCTTGCTTCTCTTCCGGTATCTTATCTCTTCTTTCTTGACTCTCCTGTCTCTGTCCCCAAATATGTCTTCTACTCTCTTTTTAAGAAAGGGTCTCAATATGTAGCCCAGGTTGGCCTCAAACTCAAGATGCTCCTGCTTCTGCTGGAATTACAGGCATACTACTGCCTATCCCACCCACCTCAGTAATGTTTCATGCCTCGAAATGCAGGATTGGTCTATACTATTTGCAGTCGCTAACTGTGTTAAAGTAGTTCTCTCAAATTACCCAATAAACATTCTGACCATCGGATTCAACTATTTATTCTCAGGTTTTAACTTCCTTCCTTGATCATGAGAACATTTTATGTCACTGATAACTGTTCCGAAATGAAATGCTTCTTACCCTATTATATGAAACTTCACTGTTTCGGTTCTCAACTTGAAAGTTTCTTTCCTGCTTAATTTTCAGACTTCAAAAGTCTTTCTACGTATCTCCACCTAAACCACTGTTTCAAATTTGATAAATCCCAAATTCCTCCTTCTCTTGTGAGCACTTCTGATTTTATAGTGGCACCACCTTCTCACCAGTGCAGGCTGGAGGCTTCAGGCTCAAGCAAATCCACCACATCTAATCAGCCACATCACTCATCACTTTTCCATACTCACTGCCATTTTCTTCATCTCTCTTCTGAACAACTGCAACACCCTCCTTGCAGTTCCCCCACCCCAGGCTCATCCAGCAGCCACCCTCGGGGTTTTGTCTTCCAAAGCGGAAGCTTCGGGGCTGAGATTAAAGATGTCAGCACTCCAGTTCGCTGCGGGTAACAAGACTTTTTTTTTTTTTCCACGCCGGAGCGCGGAGAGACACCCGACTGAGCTCGATCTCTTGGAGCCGGGGATTTGGGAACACTGGGTTGCAGGTGTACGGCTCCCTTCCGGCGCAGCTGGCGAGAGAGCCCGGAAGGCCGGGCGTGGGGGAAGGTGCGACACCTGCCCACAGGAGCAGACAGTCCTGAAGCCCAGGCTGGAGTCCTGGGCCCCAGCTGTTCAGCCTACTCCCCAGTTTTTAAGCTGTCCCCAGACAACAGACTCCCCTCCTCTCACACTCACCCCCACACTTGGGCGAGTCAGTGATTCGGCGCCGGGTCCTCTCCGGACCAAAGCTGAGGCAGAAGAGAAAGCTGCGAGGACCCCGTACTTGGGAGTGCCCAGTAAATTGCCTGATTAACAGCCTTAAAGACACCAACTCAGTCTTCAGTATTAGAAAGATTAAATAAGCGGAAAGACGTTAAATGAGAGGAACGATGTAGCTTGAGGTTGAGGATCTACATCTTCTACATTACCCAGTATCTAGAAGAATGGGGACTTTCGCGCCATCTGGATGCAGGCGCTCATCCGCCGCCTAACTCAGTCTGGGGTCCCTTAGCGTAGGGTAAACGGGGTCATGAAGGGGCGGGGCATTAGCTGTGCGCCCAGGGGTAGAAGCCAATGCTGGTGGAGTAGAGAGTCACGCAATGGGCGGGGTCTAGAGAGGCGGAGTTTAGGGAAAAGGAGGCGGTGATACGATTAGGGGGCGGGATCATCATGCCGAGGGGCGGGGCGTGCGGTGGAGCCAAAGTAAGGTGGGAGTGCGAAGATGGCAGCAGTCGAAGAAGAACCGAAGCCCAAAAAGCTGAGGTGGAGGTGCCGCAAGCGCTGAGGTGAGCACTGCCCGACTTGGGGAGGAGGGTAACGGTGCTTGCAGCAAGCCAGGGCCACGTGGGGTTGGGCTCCCCGACGCTGGGTGGTGCCCGTCTGCCTAGTTGGGGCCAAGACGCAGGACCTGCTGCTCCGGGAGTTGCCCGCGTGGCGACGACCTCTCCTCGCGCCCTGTCGAGCCCAATAGCCTCTCGCTCAGGTGCAGCTCAGGCTCTGCCAGCCGTTGACCAATCAGAGCAGCCGGCCGGGGGGCCGAGCCTACTGCGGGCGCCACGTGCTAGCAAGTCTCGGCTGGATTGTCCGTCTCCGGAGGACTGGTCAGAAGCAGCATCCGTGCGCTGCCACTTTCTAGCGGGAGGGTGGGCCAGTGCCTACAGCACCCTGGGGCAAAGATAGAATTGTTGGGGATTTTTTTTTTTTTGTAAAGTATTGCCTTCTTTTTCGTACACACTCTGAAAGTCGGCACCCTTGAAGACACAGGACCCCCGTCTCCGAGGCTTTGTCTGGGGGGAGCATTTGACTGAATGAAAGGAAAGTTGATTTTTCTTTTTTATTTGTTTTCGTACTCTCTCTCTCTCTCTCTAAGACCTAGGTATCATTCTCTTTGTGAGAACTAAGTGGGGTTTGGGAAAATGACATATGAAAATTATTAAAGATGACTAGAAGTTAGCCAGGTGTGAATCAGAGTACTGCTTTAATAGGAAAATAGGAAAGTTTGTTCGGTGGCAGACCCTCTATTGGGGAGTTGCAGATGATTGGCCAGATTGGAGCAGAAGATCAGCCTTTTTTTTTTTTTTTTTGCTAGGCAGGCGATTGTACCACTTGAGCTACTCCACCAGCCCTTTTTTGTGATGGGTTTTTTCAAGATAGAGTCTCAGGGACTATTTGCCTGAGGCTGGCTTCAAACTGTAATCCTCCTGATCTCTGCCTTCTAGGTAGCTAGGATTACAGGTGTGAGCCACGGGCACCTGGTAGGTCCAGGCCTCTTATTGAACACGTTCACGTGCAGTCTCTCTCAGAACTTAATTTTAACTGTCTACTAAATATCTCCATCCAAGTGATTTGCTGACCATCAAGGTCACATGTACCCAACCAAATCCATTTATTGTCCAGAATCTACATCTTCTCCTGAGATTCCTGCATCTGTGAATGGCAGCGCTAACCCCCCTTCTTCCAAATTTTAGATTTTATCTTTTACTTAGATTTTGTATTAGCTTCCTAACTAGTGTCTCCATCTCCAGTTTCAAGTTCTGCCTTAATCTTCTTACTCATCATAGCAAGTATCTGTAAGTTCTGAAATTGATGTTAGAAAAAATTGAATCCCAATAGCCTGTATAATAACTTCCTCTGACATTAGCAATTAAAGATTATTCAAGGGTCATATTTTTTTAAAAATGCTAAAAAGGAAACAGACTGCAGTTTTCCAGCCAGCAAATACTGAGCTTTCCCCATTTACTGCTTCCTACCTATTTCAGTTCTGTTAGACTCCTTTTATTCTTTTTTTCCATCCCCTACCTAATTTGACCTTGTGTTTTAAAACTAGATAGTAAACCTAGAACGAGCATCTTAGGTGATCAAGCAACAGCTTCAGTAATAGCTTCTAAAACACTTTTTTTTCGCTGCTCAGAAAACCCTCCAGAAGATGAGTTTTATTTTTATAAGCTGAGCACCTGGTTCCCAGAGTGGTCTACAGTGAAGATTACATGAAAAAAAAAAATACATAGACTAGAAAAGACAAGGTGTGATTGTGGATCCCTAGTGTGTTGCACAGTACCTGGTCCTTAGGAGCTATTCAATTACAGTTTCTTACATAGAATGAGACTGATAACCTTCACTTTTCTACACCCTACACTTTTATTAATGAAACCTACAATTGAGTTTGACTTGTTTTTGAATGTTTCATGCCTTGCACTTACATTAAATATCCATGCCTTTTACTTATATTAAATTTGTATTTAATCCTTTCTGATTAAGGTTTGGGGCTTTGAAGAAATGGAAAACAAAAGCCCACAGACGTACTTTGTATGGATACCTTTAGAAAGTCCTTTTCTGGACATTGTAAACTAGGGCAGAGTGAGGCTGGTGGAGAGAGAGCCAAAGGAAAGCCTGTATGGATGTCCTGGGTACCCAGGGACAGGCACAGAGGGGCTTGGAGCTCAGGGAAAGTGAAAAGGCTGTAGGAAAAAGATGGGCATTGAAGACTGTATTTCTAATTTAGGTATGGGCCTAGACAAAATAACAATAAATAAAACAAGAGGCTGAAGTGTTTTTTACAACCTGGAATAAGCTCCACTCTGTTTTGTCAATTAAAATCCTGCCTGTGTACAAAATGTTCATAGGTAAGTGGGAGGAAAAAAGACAATCAAAGTTACAAAGAGTTTTCTATTCAGGATGGAAGCCAGTGGTTAAGACCATGGTTTCTGGAATTAGACATCTGGTTTGATTCTTGATCCTTAATAGCTGGTGATCTTCAGAAGATTGTCTTGCCCCATGCCTCTGTTTTTTTTTTTTTTTTTTTTTTTTCACTTCTAAAATGGGTTTAGTAAGTGTATCTATCTTATAAGATTGCTCAGAGGAACTTAAGAAAATAAATATAAAACATAGTAAGTGTTGAATAAATGCTAACTGTTGTTACTATTACTATGGTGTGGTTTATTCTGCTTGGCTCCCTACTCTGCTAAATGCAGCACTAAGAAATTTAAAAAGATACAGATATACTTAGCAAGGGCTGGGTGTGGTAGAGCATATCTATAATTCCAGCATTTGGAAGGATCATGAGTTCTAGGACAGCTTGAGCTACACTGTGGGTTTTAGGTTAAGTCCTTTCTCACTCCTGTCTCAAAGAAGAAGAAGAAATACTCAGGATAAACATTCTGTTGGATTACCAACAGAAATGGTACATGCATTTAGAGTCTGAGTTCAGGAACTGGTGGAAATAACTGTGTGGAGAACTGGAACCAGATACCCTGGATGAAACTAGGAGCTGGGCTGCATTTGGATGAAAAAAGAATGAACTTGTCTGTTGCCAGCTGTTGCTTTAAAAGCATGTTGAAGACACAGAAGTGGCTGAGTTGCCAGATGGCTCAGCATCAGGAGCTGTAAATTCCCCACTGTCACAGAGTACAAGAGTGCCAGGAGGTCATGGGCTCTGGAATAGGTGTGGCCTACCTTTTCCTGGGAAAAGAGGGCAGAGTTGAGCCTATAAAATCACGAGGAAGACCCTTACTTAGAAAATAAATAGAACCACCAAGAGATAAATTCACTCAAAATCTAATGGGAATATTAGAGTGATTTCATAACAACTGTATTTTAAAGATCCTTCAAAAAAGATAGACTAAATGATTATCAAAAGCAACATGTTTTGAATAAAACCCAGATATTTATGAGTAGATGGCTATATAAAAGACAAAAAAATGAATTCTCAAAAGTAAAACCAAAAACAAAACAGGCTGACTAAACTCTAGACCAGACATATTTGAAGGGAAAATTAATAAATTGAAACAAAGTTTTGGCGAGAGCTGTAAAACACTTGCCTAGCATATATGAGACTCTGAATTTGAAACCAGCAATGGAAAAAAAAAAAAAAAAAGGAAAGGAAGAAAAAAGTGTGGATTAGTTTATGCACAAAGGAGATGAAGAGAAATTAAAAGCTATGACTAAAAATTGAGTGATACCAATTTACATCTAACTGGGAATTCTTTTTTTTTTTTTTTGTGGTACCAGGGCTTGAACTCAGGGCCTACACCTTGAGCCACTCCACCAGCCCTTTTTTTTTTTTATTGTTTTATTATTCATATGTGCATACAAGGCTTGGGTCAATTCTCCCCCCTGCCCCCACCCCCTCCCCTTACCACCCACTCCGCCCCCTCCCTCTCCACCCCCTCAATACCCAGCAGAAACTATTTTGCCCTTATTTCTAATTTTGTTGAAGAGAGAGTATAAGCAATAATAGGAAGGAACAAGGGTTTTTGCTGGTTGAGATAAGGATAGCTATACAGGGAGTTGACTCACATTAATTTCCTGTGCATGTGTGTTACCTTCTAGGTTAATTCTTTTTGATCTAACCTTTTCTCCAGTACCTGTTCCCCTTTTCCTATTGGCCTCAGTTGCTTTAAGGTATCTGGTTTAGTTTCTCTGCGTTAAGGGCAACAAATGCTAGCTAGTTTTTTAGGTGTCTTACCTATCCTCACCCCTAACTTGTGTGCTCTCGCTTTTATTATGTGCTCATAGTCCAATCCCCTTGTTGTGTTTGCCCTTGATCTAATGTCCACATATGAGGAAGAACATAGGATTTTTGGTCTTTCGGGCCAGGCTAACCTCACTCAGAATGATGTTCTCCAATTCCATCCATTTACCAGTGAATGATAACATTTCGTTCTTCTTCATCACCAGTCCATTTTGTGTTAGGTATTTTTGAGATAGGGGTTTGTGAACTATTTGCAGGGGCTAGCTTCGAACTGCAATCCTGATTTCTGTCTCCTGAGTAGTTAGGATTACAGGCATAACCACCGGTGCCCAGCTAACTAAGAGTTCTAAAAAGAAGAAATAATGTGAATGGTGCAGAAGCCTTTTTGGAAGAGATGATGGTTGAGAATTTACTACAATTTAAGAAAAAACAAGGTCTTCATGTGGAAAGGATATTCCATTTACCTAGTACGATGAAAAAAAATCCATGCTAAAACTATAGAGATTTTGATCCTAATTATATTAATGTGAATAGAAAGAGTAAAAATTTGGTAACCAAAAATTTATTAGTGGTACCTGTATGCAATGATGTGCCCCTGTAGTCCCAGCTTAGGCAGGTGGATTGCTTGAGCCCAGGAGTTTAGGGCCAGCCTAGGGTACATAGTGAGACCCAACCTTTAAAAAAAAAAAAAAAGATAATGATAATAATGGTTATATTTAGGTGGGAGGATTGTGATTTTATCTTATTTTGGTATTTTCAAATTTTTCTGTGCTGAACATCTGTATTAGGACTATGTATTTAAAATTAGAAACTTCA